ACACACTTACAATTTTCAACTTTGAATGGAATACATGTGCAGCTGCAATTAGAGGGAAACTGTCATAATTACTGTGTTTTACAGTATTCCCCTTTAAATTTTCACCCATTTTTTTTTTATCTTGGTTTACTATTTTATTGTAGCGACGATGGCTCCTCGCACCACCCTTTTTTTGGGTGGCCACCAAGCGGCCTATATAGATTAAAAATGTTTTAGTTGCACTACCTTCTCTCAAGCGGCAAGTTCACTGTCATTCTTCTTCCCCTTCTATGTTTCTTTTGTTTTAAAACATGAACATTTCTGCCAAAATAAGCCTATTATAGTCCTGTGAAGACATATATAGGTAGCAAAGAAGCAATTTATTTTTGAATGGTTCATTAAACTTCAGATTATGGAGTTTCTTTTTGTTTCTTCCTCCCGTAGCTATAAGATGTAACTACTCTTGATGCTTTAATACCTGATGAATTAAACTGCTCAGTCATGTCAGGCAATACATTGTGTTCTTGTCATTCAAATCTATTCTCTCTATTCAGGTATTAAATATGCTTGCTTGCTGGATTGAAGATCCAAACTCAGAGGCATTCAAACTCCACATTCCAAGAGTCCACGATTACCTATGGATTGCAGAAGATGGCATGAAAATGCAGGTCACCTTTTTTCTTTACTCTAACTTCCAACAAGAAAGTTGGTAACTTTGGCACAAGACACCTATTGAACAAGTGTGATTTACTGTCTATTGATGCCATTGGAAAATTGTTTTGGCATAATTTCTGCCAATGAAGTTTTTAACATAGCATAATTTTAGAGAAGCATTGCATCAAGTGTGTTCTGTTTACTTTAACTATAGATTCTTTTTGTGACCGCTGTAGGGTTATAATGGAAGCCAGCTGTGGGACACAGCTTTCACAGTTCAAGCTATAGTGGCTACTGGCCTCATTGAAGAATTTGGTCCTACTCTTAAACTAGCACATGGCTACATAAAGAAAACGCAGGTGCATGCCTCATGCATGTTCCCTTATACGATTATACTAATCAACATTTCAAGCCATCTCATTACTTACCTGTGGCTTTTATCCTGAAAGGTTATCGATGACTGCCCTGGAGATCTTAGTCAGTGGTACCGCCACATATCTAAAGGTGCATGGCCCTTTTCTACTGCTGATCATGGTTGGCCTATATCAGATTGCACTGCAGAAGGACTTAAGGTAAATTTTATCTTTCAAGCTTGAGAAAATATTGTTCTTCTACTCTTCTAGCATATATAAACTCTCTGGTATGCATGAGAAATAGTTATTAAGAACCATTGTAGATTCTCTTATGATCTTATCTGTAAAGTTTAGTCTGTTCCATAGCAATTGTCTGCTGGTATTCTTGACATTGTAATAGTTTGAACTGTTCTCGTTTTGTTTTATTATTAGGCGGCATTATTGCTATCGAAGATTTCTCCAGATATTGTTGGCGAAGCAGTGGAAGTTAATAGACTGTATGATTCTGTCAATTGTTTGATGTCATACATGGTAAGTTTTAATCAGTCTTCATATTTAAGGGTGATTGTAAACCTCTCATGTCATTTTAACATTTCATATGTAACATGAATAATATATAAAAAAAATGAAGCTTTGGAGCAGCAGTTCAGTAAGCATCATATAGTGTATGCCTATATTCAAGTGCTCCTTTTGCATTCAGAACAAGGACAGAGAAGATGTTTGTCTTGTCCCTTTTTTAAGCACCTCGTATTTCTGTAGGATACCGAAACGATTTTTTTTGCTTCTCAACCCTGATTAATATGCATTAGAAACTTAGAATATTGGAGATCTGCTTTTCAGTTGATAATTAAAATTTGGGATGTGGTAAATGGACTCCTGTTTAACAATTGAATCTGCAAGTACCCTTATGTATGAAAAGGCATCCGTCACATTATAATTTTGTGCTTATCAATTATCATAAGACGTCTAATTTGTCATGGCTATAAAGTGTCTCTAATATAGCAGTTTAATGGCTGAAGGAAGAGTTACTAATGCATGCAGCCTTACTTTGTTGTACCGGGCATTCAGGTTTGATGGGTTCTCCACTCAACTATTCTCTAAAGATACATAGAACTATGGCAAACTAGATTTGTTGAAGTACGACATATAATCATTTCTTCAAAAAAAAAATGTTTTGAAGTTCCAGTGCTCCACAAAGTTTTGTTGCCAATAGCTCCCCCATTCTCTTGTGTATTTTAATTGGTGTTTTAAATATATCACATGCATGTTCCTTTGGGAGGAACCTTACCTTACAGATCCTTGTACTCTTGACAGAATGATAATGGTGGATTTGCAACATATGAACTCACAAGGTCTTATGCCTGGCTGGAGGTGAGTATAATTATCTTATTTGAGGACTATCCTTCTCTTATTTGTTGTCTAGGCAAGCAGTGCTGCAAGTCAATTTCTGCGCTGACATCAAAACTGGGAAGTTGCTGACTCAAAAGATGGCACCTAAAAATTTGTTAATTGTTCTTGTAATCTTGTTCAATATAATAAAGATTTGTTGAGCTCTTTGATTAGATGCTTTCTTTGTTTGAAAAGGACAATTAACCATTGGCTGTAATATTTTTATATTGACTATGGAACATCCTTCCATGCGACTGTTGACTATGTTTCATGAATATTGACACGCGTTATTGAACTTTTCCAGCTTATCAATCCTGCTGAGACCTTTGGGGACATTGTGATTGATTATCCGTAAGACATTACAACCCATCCATTGTCCTCTTTTCTTGCTTTGCCATGTAGAAGGTGAACTGATCTTTCTTTCCTTCTCTCCTTTGTATGTGTATAAAATTTATAGTTATGTGGAATGCACTTCAGCAGCAATTCAGGCCCTGACAGCATTTAAAAAGCTCTACCCTGGACACCGCAAGAGTGAAATAGACAACTGTATAAGCAAAGCTGCTAGCTTTATTGAGGGTATTCAAAAAAGCGATGGTTCATGGTTAGTACAAGGACTTCACATGAAACAATAAGAACATTGCGTGCATATAATTGTCTACATTGTCTACTGCCCTTGGTCAAAAAAAAAATTGTCTACATTGTTCACTCTGTATTTTCCAACAGGTATGGTTCTTGGGCTGTTTGTTTTACCTATGGCACATGGTTTGGTGTAAAGGGATTAGTTGCTGCTGGTAGGACATTCAAAAACAGTCCTGCAATCAGAAAGGCATGTGACTTTTTGTTGTCAAAAGAGCTTCCTTCTGGAGGCTGGGGAGAAAGCTATTTGTCATCCCAAGATCAGGTAAATTCATTTCTATGAAATTTGCACAATGTTACTATTCTTTACTTTTTTTTTTTCTGTATCATGGATATGCTTTCAATCTTGTTTACTGGATCGCATCCATCTATTATAATGTTGATAACCAGGTGCTCTGATCAATATCACCTGTTGTTTGGGATAAATGCTTCAAAACATGTAAAGTTTTAACAAGTGGACATGAACTCATGAGAGAACTTCCCTACAATCGGGATACAACTAGAACCTTGTGGTGCTACATTTTGTTGTACTGGATAGAGTAGGATGCTAAATTTCATGCCATTGCTCTTTTCTGCATGGCGCACAGGTAGGTTATAATGTGTTGCAGGGTTCTTTGCTGTTTTTTTGTGCCACCTGCTTAGTCACTTGAATTTCTTCCAGTCTTAAAAGATTAAATTAGTAGTGACTACTACCAACATGCTTTCATATGTAACAACAAATGATATATTTTTGGGAATCAACTATTAAGGTGTATTTCTTTTCTTTGTAATCCATGTGGCATGTAAGAATTTTTATACATATTAGAACATTACCTTTACAAATAATATGTTGGACATTGTCTTGCACATAGACAGCACTTGAAATACTGTATTGATCAGGTATTGTATTGATTCTTAATTTACACAGGTTTCATCTTTGCTTTAACCATCTCGTGGCTTGTTTTCAAATAGGTTTATACCAATCTCGAAGGGAAGCGACCTCATGCGGTGAACACTGGTTGGGCCATGCTAGCCCTAATCGATGCAGGGCAGGTTTGTCTTTTGTTAAATATATTTTTGTGTATGGTTGACTTTTCAGTTATCGTAAAATGATACATATGCTTATTCGTGATAGTACTTTCCTCTTGCAGGCTGAGAGAGATCCAATTCCTTTGCATCGAGCAGCGAAGGTTTTGATCAACTTACAATCGGAAGATGGTGAATTTCCCCAGCAAGTAAGTTCTAATCCATCCCATGGGTTCATGACATGAAACGTTGCTCTAGAAAAGAAAGTGATGCATTTACTTCAGCCTGTAATAATCTTGTGGTGATTCAAACTTCTGTTTTTAAAAATAGAGCATTTCATAGAAGTTCCAATGGGCATAAGTAGAAGCACAGAAATATAGGGTTTAGGTATTGACAAGCAATATAATCTAAACTAATTGACTGAGGGTTGTCCCTTAGTTGCGTGTTTCTAATCATTAGACTATTCTAGGCATGTTATCTAACCGGTCGACCATAGATCCAAAGTTGCTTGGAAATTATCCTGAAGTATCATTGCGCAATGTTGTTAAAAGATCTTTGATGCTAGGGGAACACGCATTGCTTCACTCGATATTGAACGAGGAAAACTAAATTGCTGACATGAGTTATCCTTTTCCTTTCACTATGTATTATTTACCATCATCCGAGATGCTAAATAACATTTTTTACCCCCCCCCCCCCCAACCATATAACAGGAGATCATTGGAGTCTTCAACAAAAACTGCATGATCAGCTACTCCGAGTATAGAAACATCTTCCCTATTTGGGCCCTTGGGGAGTACCGTCGCCGCGTCTTGGCCGCAGACAAGTAGTTCAGCACGAGCAGAGCAGCAGCACCAACAATGTGCATGTATTTATACGTGAAATAATGTAGCTATGTTTCAGTTGTAATAATGTGGCTATATGTATTCTCCCGTTAGTGATGCCACGCGAGCGTAGTCAAATAGAAACGCATTTTGACACAAGTTCGAGATGAATGGATTCCTGAATCGAATGTTTGTGTTCAGATAGAATTCTTGCCACGCAAAATACAAACATGAAAGAAACCAGTTGGTTTTGGGGTGGATAGTTGGTTGTGTTTTTTTGTTTTCAGGGGTTCAGCCTCCTGGGGTCGCGTGGGAAGAGAGAAGCCTTCCTGATGTTGCCGAGGCCGCAGAAGAGCATCACCACCCTCTCCAGCCCGACGCCGAACCCGCCGTGCGGCGGCGCGCCGTACCTGAACGCGTCGACGTAGGCGGCGATGCTGCCGACGTCGATCCCCCGCTCCTCCGCCTGTCGTGCCAGGACCTCCGGGACGTGCACCCTCTGCGCTCCCGAGATGATCTCCTCCCCTGTATTCCATGGCCAGAAAATCTTATTTCATTTTTTTCCCTCCAAATTGCGAGAGAATGATCTAGTCTCAGGAGAAGATCGGTGGTATCTTGAGATGAGTTTTGTCAATTACCTCGGACGAACACGTCGAAGGAGTTGCTGTAGCGTGGGTCGTCGGAGCAGGGCATGGTGTAGAATGGCCTCACCGCCGACGGGTACCGGCAGAGCATGTAGAAATCAGTGTCATACCTGCAGTTGAAGAATACCAAGTACTAGTAAGGGTGCGTTTAGTTCACGCCAAAATTGAAAATTTGATCGAAATTAGAATGATGTGATGGAAAAGTTGGAAGTTTGTGTGTAGAAAAGTTTTGATGTGATAAAAAAGTTGGAAGTTTGAAAAAAAAGTTGGGAACCAAACCAGGTCTAAGTAAGATTTTCTAATATAACAATTCCAGTGGTCAACACTCAACAGCAAGCTAGTAGTTCTCCATCATGTGGGAGTGAGATGAGATGATGGAAAGGTTACTTGGTATGAACCAGCTCGCCCAGCTTCTTCTCAGACTCTGTGTTGAGGTCTCCCATGGCCTCCACGTGGACCCCAGCTTCCTGTCAGAGAGGTCAATTGGATTTGTTACTGACATTTCTTATCAATATGACATCATAATTCACAAGCATTAGTTGAATCAGTTTCAGTTCCTTGTTGACGGCAAGGAGAGGATAGAAAGAAGAAAAGAATCTCAGTTTGCAAGAAGAATTGGTTTATGTGCAGTTGAGATGACAGAACACAAACCTTGAGCATCCGGATGCCTTCGTCATACTCAATGCGCAGTGTCTTGGGTAAGTACTGCAATAATTAATCCCCATTTGTGGTTAATTCTTCTGTATAATAAGCTCTTGCAAAGTGCTATCACATCTATGATGATTCATAATTATGCACAAATGAATAAGCCCCCGGTCTGAGCAACTTTGACGCTGAAACCATCCGCCAGTGATTAACTTGTGGTAGATCGATCGGTTTCCTTTTTTAGATAAAGGAAGTTTTTATTGATATCAGACGATTACATCAAGTAAATATTACTCTCCCTTGTTTCAGGTTATAAAATATTTTGACTTTGGTCAAAGTCAAACTGTTTTTGAATTTGACTAAATTTATAGATAAATATAATAATATTTATAATACTAAATTAGTTTTATCAAATCAATAGTTGAATATATTTTCATAGTAAATTTGTTTTGGGTTAAAAATGTTACTACTTTTTTCTATAAACTTTGTAAACTTAAAGCAGTTTTACTTTGACCAAAACATCTTTATAACTTGAAACGGACGGAGGGAGTACAAAATACAACAAAAAGCTCCAACAATCTTTCATCTGAATCCATAAACTTGCTTACCTTCAAAGGTTTGAACGGATACTGCCTGTTAATGGCCTCAAGTTCCTTGGCGCAGTTCTTGTTCAGATGATCAAACATAGCAACAAACAGCCTATCCACAACATCACAAACCTGTTTCTCACAAGAGAAGCAAAAGAAAATTGTGTCACTGTTCATGCAGCTACATCACTTACACAGCTGAATTCACAAACAACGGAGCTAAATTACCTCAGAGTAGTGGCCTTTGATTGCCATTTCCATGTCAAGTCCAACGAACTCACACAAATGCCGGTGCGTGTTGGAGTCTTCTGCCCTGAACACGGGGCCAACCTCGAACACACGCTCGAATCCACCACAAATTGCCATTTGCTTGTGGAGCTGAGGCGACTGCGCCAGGCAGGCCGGCTGGCCGTTGTAGTCCAGCTTGAACACCGCCGCGCCGCCTTCACTGGACCCGCCGATCAGCTTCGGCGTGTGGATGCCAACGAAACCTTCTGACAGCAGCACTTGTCTGAAGATCTGCACCGTCCAAGAGTGTGACAACAACGCTCATCAGATCACAAATTCTTGTGACACCAACGGTTTCTGAAGATTTTTCTTTCGCAAATTCGGTTCCTGAATAATTCTTTTGCCAAATTTGTTTCTGGGTAATTCCGTGAGATCATCCCGTGTTCAATGTGCAAATCTTACGTTTTCGATTTCGCATTGGACACGAAAAATCGCCTGGTTTGCAGGTGTGCGCAGGTCGATCACTCTGAAGTCCAAGCGCTTGTCCTGCCCGACATGAACGAGCTGCTCGCCGGCCTGTGCATGCAACGAAACAATTAAGTTCACAATGATAGCTCCAACGAAACATGATTGTTTGCTGTGATCAATGGCAGTGTATGGATTGACAAAAAAAAGCTTACAGCCTTGGCCTTCACGACGTCTTCCTCGCTTCGCGCCGCGTCGTCGACGCTGATGGGGAGATTCGGAGTCGCTTTGCTGATGCAGTACAGCTTCTTCACCTGGATCTCCACTTCCTGCAGAAGAGTAGCCATGAGCAGACTGCAGAGGTGATCGGGATGGTGGTGATGGGTGGGAGCGGCAAAACGTCGAACACCTGCTGCGTGGTGCCGCGGACGGGCTCCCGCGGCAACGAGACGACGCCGGCGACGTCCACCACCGACTCCCGGCTCAGCCCGGCGGCGAACCGCGCCACCCCGGCGTCTCCTCCTCCGCCGCCGCCGCCGCCGCCACCCACGACGCACTGCACGGTGGACGACCCCTGCCGCAGCACGAGGAACGCGACGCGCCGCCCCACGGCGCGCACCGCGTGGGCCGCGCCCCGCACGCGCACGGCGCGGCCGGCCACGTCCGGCCCCAGCGCCGCCACGTCCGCCCACTCGTAACCGGGGACACTAAACAACCCCCCGCCGACGGCGACATCGCCATAGCCGCCGCCGTCCTCCTCCTCCGGCTGCTGCTGCAGCGGATCGCCGTGGTTGTCGTCGTCGCCGGTGGACATGGCGGATCCCGAGGCGAATTAACTAGGACTTGGTTGGATTGATTGATTGATTGAAATGCTCCCAACTAATCCCGCTTTGTCCATGAAAAGTCGCAATAAAAAATTCCGATGATGCGGCGATGAACAGTAAAAAATTCCGGCTGCTAATGCAAAATGTTTGTGCGTTTGCATACGTCATCCACATGGTTGTAGACACCGGAAGAAGCGGAGGAAGCTTCGGGGTTGGTGAGCTGAGCTGATCGTCGCCGGCGCCGCCGCTGCCGCCGTAGAGGCAGCTCTCGGTCGTTGGGGCGGGAGGCGACTGGGGAGTTGGTGGCCGAGGAGAGCGGCGCTGGACGCGGGCCACTGTGGCGCGTACACGTGTTCCTGTTGGTAGAGAAACCCTCGGCGACGTCGCCGGCAACCGGTGGGGAAAGAGGGTGTTGAGATGGGTTCCAGGCCCAAGGGTTCCATATGCAAAACTGCCGCCACCGCCACCTACTCCAATTTCTATCGACATTTCTTTGAAAAAAATGTAGTATATAATTTGTCGTATACTACTGTTAACGACCAAATTTGGTAATATCCGCATCGGAAAAGGAGATTAGATCAAGGTAGAGTCGAAGGCGGAGATTGATCCGAGAACAGAGTAAGAATCGACTGAAGTCCAGATCGGCTACGATTAGGGTCGGCTGGGTCTGAGTCGGACTAGGTGAGCCGATGCAGCCGATTCTGACAGTATAATTTGGTGTATGACATTGGGTTGAATTGAGGTGCTTCAAGATGATTGCCGCACATGGATAGAGTCCTGAGAAGGCAATTGTATTTATTAATTAGGATGTTTTATGTAACTTCCTTAGAGATATGTTTGGCCAAAAATCTGCCGCAAAGACTTATGGTATCTTAGAGTTTGTTAGAGATAGTGGTCGTGTCCGGTATGGACATATCTTGTAATTCTCGGGTATAAATAGACCCCGAGCCCTATGTAATTTTTAACACACACGTTCAATACAATTTCGGCGCATCGCCACCTTTTTACTTTAGTTTTGTTTCGACGAGTTCTTGCTTTCGGGTTGAGCTGCATCGGTTTCGATCTTCAACAAGAGGTAAAACTTGTTATGACGACTTGTGTTCTCGAGATTAGTGCTTCCATCTTTATGACACTCTAATCTTGTCTATATAATTCATCAAGTTATCATATATCTTACATAATCCTTGGCAATATCGTCATCTAACTTACAATCGGCTAACATCTGTTAATAGAAGGCAGCCGATTAGGTTAAATAGCGACGTTGTCCTAGATCATATAAGATATCTACCACTTTATGAAACACCCAGCGGCTTGATTGTCTAGATATTGTTCTTCTTTTCATACTTAATGCTGCATCAGTTGAGTTTGATCTATTAAGTCGTGCTTAGAATATCAATCTCTAGCCTGTCCTCTGGTTGTCGATTAGGGTAGTATCGGAGTTTCAGCCGATCTTATCTGATTTAACCATATTCGATCTATATGCTTCAATGACATGTTAAATCCGCCCTTTATATCAGGATCTTATTGCATTTAAGTATATTAAGCTTTTGTTTGGTATATTATATTTGTTTTGATATCTTTATATAAAGTAGTATCTGAGTATTAGCCGATACATGCTAGATCTATCTGATCGGCTATACTATAAACATATATAATCCTGTTATTAATATATATTTCGATCTAAGTGATTTATACTGTCTCAGCATGGTGACCGATCTATCCCAATCACTTGATTTAAGTATATATTAATATAAGAACTATATATCGTTAATATCTACAGCCGATCAAATAGATTTAGTTCCTTACTATCTATTTATAACCGCCGATTGATTCATATATGACATTGGCTCAAAGATAAATGATATGTCATCGGCACCTAGCCGATTGGCTATCATTTATAGATTTAACCACGAATTCTTTGTCTCTATTTCTTGTTGATTACATGATCAAATCAACTGGCACGCTTATACATTTGAAGGCGAGTTTTTGACCTGTACTGGAGTTAAGCAGATCTCCCATGCCTCGTGTTTTCTGTCAACAACTACATCCATTTCATATTATATAACTCGTTTTAGGTCTAGAAAAACTTAGTAAATCTACATTTCATATTATATAACTCGTTTTAGGTCTAGAAAAACTTAGTAAATATACAGTAGTAAATTAGTTTTATTAGATGTAACATTAGATATATTTTGATAATATGTATGTTTTGTGTTAAAATATTATTATATTTTTCTATAAATTTGGTTAAACTTATAAAGGTTTGACTATGTAAAAAGTTAAAATGATTTATAGTATGAAACGGAGGGCGTATATATATTTTTACATTGGGGACTATTTTTGTTAACAAGCTGACAAGCCGAGTTGGGTGAAAATTTTTGTGGAAGATGGGTGAGGAGACAGAATTCAAAGCTTTTATGTATGGGGGACATACAGGTGAGGCTCCTCTGTGTATGTCAGCTCCACCTGTCAAGGACCCATGTTACTCTGACTTTACGTTAGGGAAGTTGCGTCCAAGACATATTGTAGTGAACCATACCCTTAACTAGCTTATAAACGTCACAATCACATCAGTCTAAAAGAGTGAGGAGTAATTACAGTACGTATGGGCAAGGTTAATTTTTTTTTAGATAAGGATGGGCAAGGTCAATGCAAAAGTCAATTCCCTCCATATAGATATAAGGGTAATAGTAATGTTTATTGTCAAAATTGGTAATAAGGTGGATTTACGAATCAGTGGGTAGTAGCTAATACATACTCTAATTTTTAGGGAAATAATACATACTCTATGTCATAATGTGTGAATGTAAAAGGTGAACATAAGATAGAGTCCACAAGAGGGGAAAAAAAGACCAAAATCCCTAGCCTCACATACTCTGCACGCACATTGCTCACTGTATAAATACTATAGTTAAGTTGCTTATTGTTGGTAGCAGACATAGTTGCTATTGCTAGCTTTAACAATGTTTGTTGGTGTGGTTGTAAGGTTATTTTATTGCTTACTACCTGCTTTTATACTCTAAGAACATCCACAATGTGTTCTAAAACCAGGTAGTAAGCATAAATGCAACCGTTATAGTAAGTAGTAAATAATTGTGGAAATAGTACCAACAACTACCATGCAATAACACTATAACCTGGTAGTAAGAAATAAAAAAACATTATTTTCTCATCTATGTGTTAACTCTCTTCTTTCTATCTTTCTCATTAGACTATTAGATTTTTTATGTTCATGAGACCCATCTTATTGCCTCATACACATTGTGAAAATTTTGATAACAAAGAGACCTACTTTTGTTAAGCCTTACCTTACTTATTACTCCCTCCATTCCATAATATAAGGCACAACCACTTTTTCTAGATGTTCCATAATATAAGGCATGCATGCATGTAGGCAATTAACTATAATCCCTTCTCCATTAAATTATTACTTTTTTAAATCCTCCACTCTCATGTTCTCTAATTCTATTGGATGCATGCATTATATTTATTAGGATGATCTAAACTACAAAACTACAAGATGATTATAATTATTTTCTTGGTCTTTAGATTAGGGGTGGTTATATCTTATATTTTAGAATTGAGGGAGTATCAATTAGTAAGAAAATATTGCTGATATCCTAAGGAGGACATAGGAGAATGGTTGAGGGTAGAATTGAATTGAAATTATAATGCTACTACATGATGTTAGTACGTGCATGCATGATTAGAAAAAAATTGTGACTTTGTGGGCATGTGGATACTATTACTATTACTGCATCAACACTTCCCCACATAATAATAATTAATGGGAAATACCTAACTCTGATACAGTATCATGAACGATACTCGTCAGTTTGTCAGTTGTCACTATACAGGAAGGAACACCTAAACTGATAAGATAAAATAGTGTCTAGAGATGACTTTGTTAATTGTCTTTATATACATGCAATATTTAATGTAGAATACCAAAAAATAATGTGTTGAACTGTTGAGGGAGCGTCAGATCTCCATCGATCTGCCTCGAATTGATAAGGGGTTTAGTATATAAATTTGATCTAGAATTAAAATCGGTTGGCCTTTCCTTGGGACTTTGGCCGACCCAGTTTGCTAAAAAATCATTTGTCCAGTATTTCCTCTGTTGTATAATATAAGACACAACTACTTTTTTTTTATGTTTCATGATATAAGGCATACATACAATTAATTAGGACATCTTCTCCATTAAATTATTACTTTTTTAAATCATCCACCTTAAGATCTCTAATTTCATTGGATGCATGCATTATATTTATTAGGGTGATCCAAACTAGGAGATGATAATAATTATTTCTTGTTTTTTTAGGTTAAGGGTGGTTGTGCCTTATATTTTAGAACGGAGTATTACTCAAGCTTATCAGAAAGAAGAAGCTCCCCGAAAAACAAAAAGGAAAGAAGAAGCTCCCCTACGTAATTGCAGCAGGAGAAGATCACACCCCTGTTCTTTGTCCAGCTGGTAACTAACCAGTATGAGAGTAGTAAGCATGTTTCTCAAGCTGGTAACTAACCTTGTAATTTTTAGAAAACTTTATACACATAAATCTATTAAAATATTATCTTAAATCTATTTTTCAATCTCGTAACAGTTAATTAATTCATTTGCTTGTAATATCGAATTATTCATCTATTTAGAAGTCCATTTTATTCCATTATTCAGCTCAGAACAACACATCCGGAGTTAGCGAGCAAGCGAGCTACCTATACTTTATTATTATCATCTTTGCTAATTAATTAATTGCAGCTAGATCGCTCGTTTCCGTCGTTTGGTTGAGTGTATATATATGGATGAATATATAGTGTGTATGTACATATATAGATACTGTCATATATACATAATGTGGCGGCTAAGAGTCGCGGAGGAGGCCGGCGCCGGCGGCGAGGGGTGGCTGAGCTCCACCAACGCGCACGTCGGCCGGCAGGTCTGGGAGTTCGACGCCGCCGCTGCTGATGACGATGACGCCGCCGCCGCGGCGGAGGAGGTCGAGGCGGCGCGCCGCGAGTTCACCCGCCGGCGACACCAGATCAAGCACAGCGCCGACCTTCTCCTGCTCCTGCAGGTTGTATACATATACACCTTGCATTTCAAAATAACTCAATTTAGAATGTGACAGAATCTGGACGTAGACATATCCAGATTCGTTGGCTAAAGATATGGGTCATATTTCATCGTAAGTTTAGTTATTTTGATACGGAAAGAGTGTACATGTAATGGATTGCAAGTATAATATATGCATGAGAATATTATACCATATAAATTTTTTTTGCAAATAAAAAGACACATGTTTAAAAAAGTTTTTTGTAATGTACTATCTGGGACTTACACTAGTTATATGTTATATGCTTAGAACACTTTTTATATATGCTAGTTACATTATAATGTAAATAATTATATTATAATTACATTCGTGTGATTTAAATGAATAAAATTGTTCATAAACGTATAGCAAAACCGAAGAAATCAACTTTGGTTTGGATTGGGTAAGAAAAACACACATCCAACTTCCAGTCCCATCGATATATTTTTTTATGTTTAATTAGGTTTTTTGGAAATACGGTTAGAAAAAAAGTTTATTTATAATTATATTATATTAATATTGTTTGAAAATGAGTCACCATACTCGTTCTAGATGTCTAAATATTACCATATTAATTGAAGAAAAAACAAATCATTATATTGAGATGAATCTAGATTGATAAGTACAATTGTATCTATAGAAACATAAGATAAGAGTTATATATCAACACTCGTTTTGTATATCTAATATACATTATGTACAAAATATAATTATATACGTGGAAATAGATGTAAAGAGTCGTGTATATAAATCTAAGATTGAATTGCACTTTGACTATCTTTCATTATCAAAGTTTTAAGTTGGACCACTCTTTATCTAATCATTTTAGTTTAGACTAGTTAATGTTACCTCTGTACTGGTTTAGACTATCTCAGCTCACTTATCTCTTCATACCAACTAATCCTATATTAAAGGTATGGCCTACATATAGCTTCAGGAGGGGAATTCCTAATGTAAAAAAGCCGGTATAATGAAAACCATGGATATACTACTCGAGAAGACGGAGGCAATCCAAATTACAACAAATATAATTTTACTTAATCCAAAGTAAAAAATGTATTATTTAAATAGTGGTATAAAGTGAAATTTTAGTAATAAAATTGAACTTTAATTTACTCTACATCCAATTCATAACCAAACTAATCCGAATATAATTATGTGAGAAAATTCTCTATTAGAAAAATAAAAAGAGTAAAATAAAACTTGGAAATCTCCCTTCCCATCACCGCGGAGGCGCAGATACATTCGCCGCCGTCGCGCCACCACCGGCGGCGGCGGTATGGCGGCCGCACCGCCGCCACGGAGGCTTGGCGCGCTCGCCAGCGCCGGCCTCCTCCACGGGATCGACGCCCAGCTCCGACGCGTAGCTGAGTACGTCTCTCTCCGCACTTCAAATTTTCACGCATCGACGGGTGGATCGAGCCACTGAGGTGTGGCGACGAACGCCACGCATGTCTGGGCTGTGGGATTGGGGTGACGGGGATTCGGTAGCTGTGCGGAGACGCACGGCACTGAGATCTGGGCTTGTTAATCATCTAGGTTTTGATCGATGATGACAGTCACTCTGTCACTAGTACAATAAAATCGCAAAAGTTACTACTACTACTTAGATAAACTATTGGAGTACTTTGTTTCAATTATTCATGGAATTGAACTGCCGTCACAATCGTGGTCGTCATTTTGTGGAAGAATTTCTCTGGGTTACTATGCAATATATATAGTGGTAACTTGTTAATACCATTTTGCAAATTGCAGTTCACTAGATCGAATCCCTCTAAGCTGGAGATTCCTGGTATCAAGCTGGGCGAGGATGAAGATGTCACAGAAGAAGCGGTGCTGACCTCTTTGAAAAGGGCGATTCGGCGTTATTCTACTCTTCAGGCACATGATGGACACTGGCCTGGGGATTATGCTGGTCCCATGTTCCTTCTTCCAGGCTTGGTACTTCCTTTTCACTGCTGTGGGAAAATGGATCTGTTGAAATTCATCCACATCGTTATTAGCTAAATTCACAATTTCTTTCATGAGGTAAAACATTCCAAAGCACTGCTCGGAGCTAGTATGTTGCTGTTAGCATCCTTGCTTTGATGTTGGTTGGTACTTGCTAGAGTACTGCCCAAAGATTCATGCTTGGCTAACCATTTTTTAATTTTGTAGTCCCTTGGTTGTTTCACTTGCAATGGCTGGCCTTTTGTTTGTGTTTTTCCCTTAGAAGAGAACCTGCATTTCTGTTTAAAAGCAGTTCACATCAGACAAGCATCAATTTTATCGCCAAGTGCCAGCATGCAATCGTTGCATGTAATTTGTACATTTTGTAAAGAAAATATGGATCACATACATTTGTCTTCCTTTTGTCTATATAAGATTATCTGTACATTTTACTTCTCCATTCCTAACTCAGTTTTACCCAGGTTATAGTACTGCATGTGACTGGTGCACTAAATACTGTGCTATCAACAGAACATCAAAAGGAGATTCGCCGGTATCTCTATAATCATCAGGCAAGGACATAAAACTTGCCCAAATAACTCTGAAAAACTTACTTAGATAAATCTGTCATTTCAATACACATGTGTGCTTCGGTCGTGATAAAATCGTAAAATCTGTTTCAAAAATCATGAGAGATTTGCATTTGCTGAAGCTGATAATCGGCTGCTGAACTAATTTGCTCGTGCATTTACTTCCCTTTGCTGTCAGACTTTGGAGAGGTTCAGATGTGAGAACATGTTCTCAGTTTCTGTTATCAAGCCCCTAACGAGAAATTCATTCCTTTTTGGCCCTTAAAAAAAATCCATGTAGAACATCTTTAAAAGAATGGAAAGAGAGGGCAACCTTTGAATTCAAAAGGGCATACAGTGCGTGTGTTTCATGTCCTTCTCCATATTGTATAGCTCATTATGTTGTGTAAAGAAAGTAACAAAAACTTTTTAAGTGCAGAATGAAGATGGAGGCTGGGGGCTGCACATTGAGGGCACAAGCACCATGTTCTGTACTGTCTTGACTTATGTTACCTTGAGATTACTTGGAGACGAATCAGATGGTGGAGATGGAGCCATGGTGATAGCTCGAAATTGGATTTTAGATCATGGAGGAGCAACTTTCACAACATCATGGGGAAAATTTTGGCTTTCAGTAGGGAACCTACGCATTTTAATTTCCTTTTGTGTTTTTGCTCTGGTCCCTATACAATTCTACCTTGTTTTACAATCCTAGAGAGGTCCTGCTAATGTCTTAATTAACTTTCTTAAGGTACTTGGTGTCTTTGACTGGTCTGGTAACAACCCATTGCTTCCAGAATTGTGGATGCTACCTTATTTCCTCCCATTTCATCCAGGTTTGCCTTCTCCTTACGTTTTATTTCTTTTTACTCTTTAATCTTAATTTGGTAGAGTGTAAGTTCATCATACAATAATAGAGAAAATTATCGTAGGTACTGGCTGGAGTGCATGCTAGTGCAGGTATTCACTATATACAAACATGGTTCTTTGGCAGCTTACTTTGAATAAGTGTGTACCGGGTTGCTGCCACGTACGTATATTGCACTAGAATCCATGTTGTGGGTTGATAAAGTGTTAGTACAATAGGCTATGTCTCCCTTTATAAAAGAAACAGGGGAAATTAGCCCCATTTGGAAAGAATGGATTTATATAATTGCAGAAACATAAATACAGAATATTTTTACTCTAATGATATGATAGAAAATTTATGAATATGCTGACATGGAATTTTCATAAAACAAAAGGAAGAAGGTTCAGGAATATGTATAGATTGGTTAAATTCTTCAAGGTACGTGCCTATTCTGAACATCATAAGCATATATTTGGTTTAGGAATGAGTTGGGATGGGTTGGACTCATCCTTGTGTTTTTGGATGGGATGGCCCTATCTATCTGTTTGGCATGAGGGATGAAATGGTCCCAGTTTTAAGGGGATGGCTCACATGTCAGCGAGACAAAGAAGTGGGTTGGATTGGTCTGCCAATTTTCAAGGGACCATGCCAACCCGGATCTTAGAAGAATATTCCCTTTCAGGTTCATCCCATCCCATCTATCTCCAAACCAAATACCTTGAAAAGTGAGTTCAATCCAATCCGACCCATTCCATCCCTTGAACCAAACGCATGCAGCATGCTTAATCTCTAATAATTTTTTAAGTGTATCAATCCCTATATTACTAGATTCATGCATTGCTCCTCCAGCCAATTTGTTTGAGATAGATCAGCGACCATGTTCTTAGGGTGCCTTTACAACATTCTTTTTAGTGTTCTGTAATCTGTAGAAAATTTTATCTTACAATCAGTATATTTTGTTTGCCTATGTCCAGGACGGATATGGTCCCACTGCCGAATGGTATACTTGCCTATGTCTTATATTTACGGAAAGAAGTTTGTCGGCCCAATTACACCAATAGTACTGACCCTACGAAAGGAGCTCTACAATATACCCTATGATGATATTAATTGGGACAAGGCTCGTAACCAATGCGCTAAGGTTTATGAGCTTTATACTTTCTTTGTCTTTCTGATTGTGCACGGGTCAAACAGCAAGGACATAAAAAACAACTTTATCTTGCAATACCATAGTGTCTGTTGCTACTCAGTTCTTGTTACTTCAGGTAGACATGTCTGTGTAGGATAAGTTTCTTATTTAATAAAGAAAAAAGAATTATGTATTGCAGGAGGATCTGTACTACCGTCATCCATTAGGGCAAGATATCCTATGGGCCACTCTTTACAAATTTGTTGAACCAGTTCTATCGCATTGGCCTGGCAGCAAATTGAGAGAGAAAGCTCTGAAGAATGCCATGCAGCATATTCATTACGAAGATGAGAATACTCGATACATTTGCAGCGGTGCTGTACAGAAGGTAAATTGAAGACAATGACAACTCTCTAAAAAAAAGAGCTCTTCTTGTTCTTCTGTTTACTTTGATGCCTTTATTACTGATTGTTGTGATTTTTTTTAAATGCAGGTATTAAATATGCTTTCTTGCTGGATAGAAAATCCTAACTCAGAGGCATTCAGATTTCATATTCCAAGGGTTCATGATTACTTGTGGGTCGCTGAAGATGGCATGAAGATGCAAGTGCTTATTTCATATTTGGGACTAATGGCTATCTTTTGAATCCATTTTATTTGCTTTCAGTTGAGGTGGTTGTGTCAACAGTAAGCTTATCCACATATTTGCTTATCTTAATCACATTGCAAAATTATTTTAGCATTTTCAGTTGATACTTACGTATTTGCATCATTCTTTTTAACTGACTCTATGCACAAAATCTGTGTGGTGTATGGCTCGATGTTTAAGTGGAAGTTGTCACAATGGATGCCTACTAGTATTGGAAGATACTCCCTCGACTATAGATGGCCAAATAGGCCGCCCGGACCGGGCCTGGGCCCGAGATCAGTCAGGCCAGCATGGCCCAACCTACATGTTGGGCTAGGCTGAGCACGCCCACTTGCTGCACCAACGGTCCAAGCATGGCCCAATAAGACTTGGGCCGTGCCGGACCAGCCCGAAGGCACGAAAGCCCATTGTGCCCCTCCTTGGAAAAAGTCTATTTTCCTCCCTGGAAAAAGTCTATTTTTCCTCCCTCATCTCTTTGGGACGTGCCTTATATGCCTGGAATAAGGCTATTTTGGCTCCCTCATCTATTTTGCCTTCTTGATTGTTGGACCAGGCCGTGCTGGGCCGGCTTATCGTGCTGAGGCAGAGGCCTAGGCACGAGCCCAACACCAGTCAAGCCGTGTCGTGCTTGGACCAGGCCAAAACCCTGTGCCATGGGCCAGGTTGTCGGGTCTCGGGCGTTTTGGTCAACTATACCTCTGTCCCACTCACCAAGGCACGATCAAACTTTGCACGGTCTTCAAAATTAATCTTTGACTTTAAATTTTTCATATACTATAATGTTTGTAGCAACAAAATCATAATCATATGAAGGTAAATTTAAATGATAATCCAATGATATTGTTTTCATCAAATAAAATTTAATTTATAATAAACTATTTAATGATCAAATATTTAAAGAGTTTAATCTTAAAATACGTGCACGCCTTAGTTAGTGGGACGGAGGGAGTATTATGCATGAATATTGTACTGTGTTTGTGCATGCATGCAGCTTACTAGCGTCAATGTCAATAAATTGTGGTTTGGCTTACTGTAGGGTTACAATGGCAGCCAGCTCTGGGACACAGCTTTCACAGTTCAAGCTATACTGGCTACCAACCTTATAGAAGATTTTGGTCCTACTATTAAATTAGCCCATGGCTACATAAAAAACTCACAGGTAAATGCTTGATGTCAGCTTGTGCAAATAGGTTAATTCATCATTTAATTACTTACATGTTACTCCTTGCTGAAAGCTTCTTCATGACTGCCCCGGAGATTTGAGTTACCGGTATCGCCATATATATAAAGGTGCATGGACCTTTTCTACTGCTGATCAAGGTTGGGCTGTATCAGATAGCACTGCAGAAGGATTAAAGGTAGTTAATATGTGAATGAGGTTGTCAGTATTAACAACAACGATATTTTCTTTAAGAAACCAACTTTGTTCTTGCAGGGTTTATGAAGTAGAAATTATCCTATAGTATTAGGCATCATAGTATTACCATTATAGCCTTCACATGTCACGTCTAAGTCTAACCATTATGTTCTTTTGTGGCATTGATGGCATCATTTGAATTATATTTTACTAAATGTTTGAATTTCTATCTGATGTGATTCCTGTTAATTACCTTCAGGCCTCATTGTTGTTATCAAAAATTTCTCTGGAAATTGTTGGTGAACCATTAAAAGTCAATAGACTTTATGATGCTGTCAATTGTCTGCTGTCTTGGATGGTACAGATATCCTAACTTTTGTTTTCTTTAATTTCTTATTTAATAATATCCCCAGGGTATTTCTGTTCCCCTTGTGACATGTCAAAAGTCTCCGTATAAGCTGGAATAGCAACTTTTTTTTATTAGAGAAAGTAAATTGGAGAAGTACGTAGAGTTTATGAATTGCGATAACTTATAGAGTACCAATTAGGTATTTATCAAATTTTGCTTCAAATCTTGTACCTCTTGTCTCTAGGTGCCTTAATCAGTATAATAACTTCTGAATTGTCAAGTTATTTTAATCAAACTGGCTAATAAATTTTCTCATGCTACATATTTAATGCTTCTATGCTCAATGTTGTATATCCATTCTGTGGAATGATCAAAGCCTCCAGCTGTTGATTTATGTTATGATGGGTCTATCAGTATGCTTATTGTCTGTAATTCTTTTGGTACAGAATAACAATGGTGGTTTTGCAACATATGAACTCACAAGGTCTTATGCCTGGCTGGAGGTGAGTGGTTGAATTATATTGTCTTTGGTTAACTGTAAAAACACTGTTTGATAGGTTCGCTCCTGTCAAACACTGTTTGACAACCTGACATGTTCTTTTGTACAATTCAGATTCTCAATCCTTCTGAGACCTTTGGGGACATAATGATTGATTACCCGTAAGACACTAAGATGCGATAGCTGTTTTCCTTGTTAATATAATGCTTTATCAATCTTTGAGAGAAACAGAAAATGTGAATTGAATTCTACTGGCAGTTACGTGGAATGTACTTCGGGGGTGATCCAGGGTTTGACAGCATTTAGGAAGCACTATCCTGGACACCGCAGGGAAGAAATAGACAATTGTATCCAAAAGGCTGATAGTTTCATTCAGAGTATTCAGAGAAGTGATGGTTCATGGTTTGTACCCCGAACTCCTTTCAGAAGAGAACATGTGACACATTGCTTTTTTTTAAAAAAAAAATGTCTGCTCAAAAGCAGAAATAGTTACTACTGTCATTCTACATTGTGAAAAACTATCCATTCACAACAACAGGTACGGCTCCTGGGCTGTTTGTTTCACTTCTCGGACATGGTTCGGAGCGAAGGGATTAATTGCTGCTGGAAGAACGTACGAGAACTGTCCTGCAATCAGAAAGGCATGCAACTTCTTGTTGTCAAAAGAGCTTCCTTGTGGTGGTTGGGGAGAAAGCCATTTGTCTTGCAAAGGTAAGGTACACGATCATTTCTTTCTACTAGGTAATGCACTAATGCCTACTAATGGGTCTCCAAATCCAGCAGTGCAATCTGGAGATCGATCCTATGTTGATAATTAAGGCGATTATGGAATATAATTGGATCAAATTACCAGTGATGTTACAGCACAAGTGTGTCTGTAACTCTTTAAATTGTGGCTATATATATATATATATGCGAATACGTTTTAATGTAGTAAACATTTTTGTAATTCTCCACGAAAACAGGTTTACACCAATCTTGAAGGAGAACGTCCCCACGGAGTAAACACCAGTTGGGCCATGCTTGCGCTAATTGATGCCGGACAGGTCTTTTCGTGTTTGACATTTTCTATTTGTGGATTTTAGTATGCAGTAACAGATTGTCCCTTGGCAATGGCTCTCTAACCGTTTGCGTTGTATAACCAAAACTCTGCTTTGTTTTAATATACTGACGTACTTTTTTTTTGCGTGTTCACGAAAAAATATGCAGTAACAGATTGTGTGTGTCGTTTCCCATTTGACAATAACATCTTGATTCTCATCGGAGCAGGGTGAGAGAGATCCAGCGCCGTTGCACCGAGCAGCTAGGATTCTTATCAACCTACAATTAGAGGATGGGGAGTTCCCTCAGCAAGTAAGTCATAACTGCTCTTCTCTTATAGCAAAGTAGTGAGTTTTTTGCTTTTGGACCATTTCTCGATTTGTGCGTGAAAAATGTACACAGAAATTCAGGTGCAGAGTGTTGGCCAATGGCTGGGAGGGTTTTTTTTTTGTTTTTACCCTTTCGAATGATAGCTTTTCTTATGCTTAATAATGTTAAGTGCTGTCCCTGTCTCCGGTAGCTTCTGAATCTGAATGAATTTTTGTGTGACTTGAAAAAAACAACAGGAGATCATCGGAGCATTCAGCAAAAACTGCGCCATCAGCTACTCTCAGTACAGGAACATATTCCCTATTTGGGCTCTCGGAGAGTACCGCTGCCGAGTCTTGTTAGGCAGGCAGGATGCATCGGTGACCGGCAACACTGCTAGCTGATGATACTGATGAAGTTATTTTCTTTTTAAAAACAAAAAAAAAAGAAGTCAAGAGTGCAGGTGTTGCGTGGCTTTCTGTACCTGAAACTTACTATTACCATAATAGCAGCATTATGGTTTATTTACAGCTGAAAGTGCACTGTGATATCGAAAACAATATGTGCTGATCATCGTGAAATAATGTCGTATTTAAGGGATGTATGTGTAAAAGTTCACCTCGCGTTGCGAATTGTGATCGTTCCAGGGGTATCTTAGAAAACTGACGTTCTAATGGGGTCCTTTGTGAAAAATGCCACCTCTTGAATCTTGACTCTGAGCAGCATAGATCCGATCGGACGGTTCACGTGGACCCCAGTCATAGGATCGGCAATGCTTTTAACGGATGATGATTAAATTTTGGGTAATTTTAGGGTCTCTTTTGAACAAATGCTTGTGCAAACTCACCACCCAAAATAGGTTCGCTACCATTTGGTGCCAGCAATCACTGCCACAGTGCAGGGCTTGGTTGCGTAGAGATATTGATCAGTGTTCCATGATCATAGATGCCCACAAGAAATCAAGAATCTGAAACCATGATCACTTGCTGAAGCAATTCTGATACAAAGTATCACCAGAATGAAATTATTCAAGCACACGATTAGTGACAGCGACTAAAGGAAAGCAAAAGTTAAGTTTATGTTTCATGGCAGCGCTACAACCAGAGTACAACACAACCAGATCAATTCAAGTTCAAGTTTCTCGCACACCTTTATTCTTCAGAACACCAAGAATGCAGTTCCAGATTTCAGAAATTTCAGATAAGAGCAGAAGCCATGTCGATTGCGCGACATCTGAAACATCGTCAGTTCATCTGATCATAGTGGGAGTTGTCATAGGAAGGCTTTGGGAGCTGGAGATGATCTTCGTCGTCGTCGTTGCCAAGGCGGTCGAAAGCCTGAAACTGCGCCTGCTGATCAAGGGACAAGCCTCCTTGCCAGATTGCTGGAGATGGCATCATGACAGGGTTGGAGGTGCCGGCAATGGCGGTGACACCAGGGTGAATCTGAGAACCTGGCTGAAGGTTTGCAGCACCCACTGAATCGATTGACAGAAGAGAGAGAGCATGCTCAAAGTCTGGGCCTCTAGCGGAGCCGGAAGCGACAGCAGAAGCTTCCATGCCTGAAAAATTAGTGAGTAGAACTGTAAGTTTTATGCGGATAAATAACCGAAAAAAGATCGTATGAGCAGATGCAGCTGGAATTGAAGTCATATATATCATGGTAACTATGAACAGATTGCAACAAAAATCTCAGTGAAGATAATTCCTCTCTTCTAGTAGTATATATGAGCCCAGGTTTTCCATGTAGAGGATCTTGGTCCTACTAGAAGTAATGATGATTAGATTATCCAACAGATTGCGACTCCCTCCATTTTGGTCAAAAGCTTAAAGCTTTCCTGCATGCACATTATTACACTCAACTAAGCTGTTGAAGCAGAATCATGCTTGATCAGGACATTCTGGTGCTAGTCATTGTACAAGAGTTGGGCCAAATGAAGAAACACCAAAGGTGGGTGGTTACCGGCCACAAATGAAGCTCCAATAACATGCGAAAACGCAAAGGTTTTCAGTGATTGCAGTCTACTTCACAGAACATAACAGAGCTTCAAACCAATCTATGATATCGATATATACCACTCACCTTACACACGTCACTACAAGCTGTCCTAGATTGCAAGGAGTGGGGTCCGGAAATTTGTTTCACATGTTGTAGCTTTGTGCCTACATTATTGTGAGCTGACTCAATGTTAAGGTGTCAGCAACTGGAGGATGGTGACAGCTCTGCTAAAAAGGATGAGTTTCATGGGAAAGATTGTGGTATGTGGACACTTGCTGCGGCACAATGCAATAGTACTTTTAAAATCAAGCAAGAAGCTAATGTAGTTTTCTTTCAGTCTTAGTCTGTAATGTCTGTAAGACTTTTCTCCGGCTTTTATATAAAGCTGGATCAATCTTTGGTAAGAAAAAGAAGCTGATGTAGACAAAGGATGAGTTTAATCAGAAGTCAGTAGCAAAGAAAAGAACATGGAGAAGAACGTAGCCCAACAATCAGGTTCTCGTGTTGTAAAAATAAATAACCAGACATGTAGTCATGGGAAAAACTTATCTAATGAAATGATACGACCATACGTCCTAAGTGCATAGAGTTCCATACCATCTAATAACTTCACAGAAACACCAATGATCAGCTAGAATCAAGAAGAAGCATCCCAAGAGGCACCATCATATAAAATAGCTTCTAGGACTACATAGGCGCATCCGTCTATGCTCTTTTTCCTCATAAGGAGTTGTGAGAACAATTTTTATGCGGGTGAAAGACCCAACATTATTATTATTTTCTCATCTTTTGCTTTCAGAATGTTAACCTCTCACCTTTTTCTTTTGGAAAGTTCATCTATAAATAGCTAGAGAAACAAAATACCTTGGTTAAGGACCTTCGCGTTGGTTTCTTTGAACGCCATGAGACCATCAAAACTATGATGTGCTCCATGTGGCAGTACATTGCCCGATGCCTGCTGATTAGATACATGCGTCCCATCAACACCGGCAGCTATTGTTGGCCTTGACCAAGGAGCTTTTGTTGCTGTAAATTTGAAGCCTCCTGGTACTGGGTTATCCCAAGAACTTGCACAGCTTCCCATCTGACCATAAGGAGCTTGACCAAATAGAAAACTTGCCTGTTGCCTTGCATCTGCTTAGGACGGTCACAAGTCACAACAATTTCAGCGCTAAGCTAAACAGATGTAACGACTAACGAGAAGAAATAGGTTGCTTATTACTATTGTACTATTGCCTATTATGGAAGTTAAAGCCACTTTTGTACAACTTACGGGTACACTAAATTCAATGTGCACTTCTTGAAATTTTAGTTAATGCTTACTCAGATACTCAACAACTTCTGTGCTCCAATTCGTTAATTTTTCAGAGTGATTTTTCTTTCTGAAGTATTATGTGCAGAAATAACAATACAAAGAGATGGCACAGTTGAAACTTCCCATGTTTTAGTACCGATCAGTTCGGTGACAATATTTATGGTATTGGGGGGGGGGGGGTGAGATTTAAACTGGGTAGATGACAAAATAAGCTTCAATTTCACAGAACTATAATGCAAATAGAATCTTAATACCACCATAGAGTAATGTAGAGAGCCTCGACGAACTTAAGGAAATTGCTTCTGGTTGTGGCTTCCGTCTGCGGGCATTGTGATCATGGAGGCGCCTGCGACAGCTTCGTTTTTTCTGGTCGAACTCAGCTAAACCGTGAAACCTACAAAAACAGCAGAAGTTCAAAGAAAAGAATGAAACAAGAACAATTTTACTTTACCTTAATCAAGGGTGCTAAGATCGGATTCAAGATAACAAGCAGACAACATATTTAGTAACCAAGAAGAAAATCTCACCGACTACACTGTTGGCAAAAGCGTCGCTCAAGACCCGCAACGATGACTTTAAGAGTCTTGCTGTGAGGTTCACAGACTCGGTGCTTTCGATGGTAAGGTTTAGCAGAAGAGAGATCAACATTGCAGCCTTCAACTTGACAGTGTGGGTTCTGAGTGTTCTGCTGAGCCACCTTCACCTTCTTGGCCAGACCAGGAGATGGGGTAGCCACACTCACACCAGATGGAGAACTCTTGACATTCTGCCCTCCACAGACATCTTCAAAATAGGTTCTCTTGCCAAGCTTCAGGCCAATCAAGGGCTCTACACGATTGGCTGCTACCACCGGTGATCGAGAAGTTCCGGTGTCATCAACTTTACTCTTACCCTTGTCCATGTTCTTATCATGCTCTTCCGCAGATGCAAAATTGAGCTCTATGGTGTTCCCCACTTTGGACGGAGAATCGATCGACGCGGATATGGAACTCTTGGATGAACCATACCCAATCTCTGAGCTAGAAGAGAAAGTACCACCAGAAGAATGGCCTGATTCATGGCCTATGTCAACCCCAACACCTGCAAGTTTTGATTCAGCCAGCATCACATTCTTGGGATTCTCGTTCGCGCTATTTCCTATCGGCGGCATATTCTCCCAATCCCACAACACCGAGCTCTTCTGATTCCAGTCCATCCCAAAAGAACCCATGCCAGTTACAGATCCCAGCTGCTGCTGCTCCAACCTTTAAATCAACAAAATGAAATATGAGAAGGACAGATACTCAAAAAGAAAATATAACTCAATTAGAAGTTGCAGAAATCAGGACAGATTTATGGCATAGCTGACACTTGACTCAACTGTGCATCATTGAAGTTTGAGAGAGAAGTACAACCACCACAAGATGTGCTACCAAGAGTATCAATGAATGCCCATATATGCAGACTCTAGCTTAGCTTTATCAGGGGAATCATCAATCATGGCAAGAACAGCAACATCATCATTTCAGATGCAAGAAAGGCAAAGCACAACTACCTCAACAGTGGGGGGAGGGGGTAGTGAAGTACCTGCTCTTTGCTTCTCTCCCAGAGAAAAGGAGCACAGCAGATTCCTGATGAATTCCTCCTGAAAAAAAAAAACTGTTTCTCTCTCTCTCTCTCTCTCTCTCTCTCTCTCTCTCTCAATCAGCAGCAGCCTGGAGAAGCATGGAGCTCCACTGATCCGGCGAGCCGATCTGGCGATGGCGGCGCGTCCATCAGCTTGGCAGCCAGAGAAGCAGCCTCACTGGAGCATTCAAGCTTGGCCACACCACTGCCTTCTCCTCACTCTCATCTCTGGCTTTCTCAGATCTTATATCCTACTACACCTCTCCTCTTCAGGCTTTCTCTATCCCTAACCTTTGAAGCCAACAACATCAACCAGTCCAGTGCTGGACCCTACTATACATCATGACAAGAGAACCACCCCCAAAATTTCACAATCTCAAATCTTATCACAGTTTCACACTTTCACTTCTCACCACCATGAAAGATTTTACAAGCTCAGATCTTTCACAGTTCCACACCACCAAGAACTACTACTACCTGACCTCAAGGCTGCTGCATTATTTCTTCCATGTTAGCAGCACTGCAATGGTGGCAGCAGCATATGCAAATCAAATCAGAGGGGCAGGAAAAGAACCTATACCAAGTCAAGTCAAGTAGCTTCTTTCTTTCTTTTCTGTGGGGCACCTATACAAAGAAACCTATAGCAATTAGCAAAGGAAGCTTTTTTTCACCTACCTAGGGCTAGGGGACAAAGAACCACTCTACTCCTCTTGTATCTGAAATCAAGAATCTCACCTCTTTTCCCTCAAGAATCTGTGTCTTCCTCCAGAATTACTTTCCCTGGCAAGCGCTGGTGGAAAATGAGGACCTTAAACCAAAAGACAATGAAGAAAAGCAACTATAGATAAGAAAGACAAGACTCACAATAATCCAACACACACAAGATGGCCTCTCTCTCTCTCTCTCTCTCTCTCTCTCTCTTTCTCACTGTGCCCCACCTGAGCCTCAAATGAACAGGAGGAATCAAAGAGGGATGCCAAGTGGGTGGCCTGCCTCCTTGCACTGTCACACACACAGCAACTAGCCACATGTGCTTCACTGGCACAAACCAACAGTGCTCAATGTATCAAGCTATACTCACCAGTTTACTGTTACTGCTGCACCAACAGCTCTGCTTACTGTTGGTATGCTGCCTCTTCCAGCCCAATATGGCCACTACACTTCAAGTACTCACACAAAAGAAGCAAATCCCCTGTAAGAAAGGCACAACCTTTTGTATGATGAATTCAGAATTCAGATCACCTTCTCAGGGAAAGAGTAGGACATTCCTGTAGCCTGCAGTCTGCACACCTCAACAAGTTAGTGCCAAGTATAAGTGATGATACACATTTGCCCATGCCTACCTTGGAATTGCATTTCATAATTGGTGCATGCAAATGAATGCTTATCTCTTTCTCGTCTTGCTCTGGTGTGAGTGTGACACTCAGCTTCTGTTCTTCTAGGCCATCTTTACATAGGACCAAAAGTTGCAGTAGCTGCCTTTTGTCGGTTGTGCTTAGGTGGTGCTCCTCTTTGCTTAGCACTTTTGATGTGACACTGATGGCTGCAACTGCAAAATATAATTACTCCATAGGAACAATAGGCAGTTGTGTAATGAGATGCAAGCCTTTTGCGTATTCCCGAAAATAAGAAACGGGCGGTTGTTAAATCAGCTAAGGCATGTGTTAAAATCAGCTACTATATCAAGTGGATCTTGATCATGTTGGCTACTTGCAATTGAAGAAGGCGACGTAGATTTGGTTCCCCAATGGTTCCTGCTTAAAAACAAAGATCAATCAGCACAGATACCACTTGAAAGTAGCAAAAAATGATTAGTTTAATTAACAACCATTGGGACTGTAAAAATTGGTTTGCGTGATCCCCTCCCCCATCAGCGGTAGGGAAGTAGGGAGTCGTGGATGCAATCTACACCACGTCTTTCTACAAAATAAAATGGGCCTGGTGATGTAAGGAATCAAACAAACAAAAAATCTCTAAATTGCAGACAGAAATATTTATGAACACTTGTGAACAACTGAACATACGATTTCAGAGATACATATATGAAGGCATAAGCCTTGAATTGGATAGGAGGATGATTAATAGTTAATAGCCAAGTGAATTTTTTATCACAAAACTGTAATTAAGATGGTAAAAGAAGATGAACACAAAAGAGTGGTCAGATTCAGATGAACTTCACTGCAAATTTCACATAGATCAAACGATTTTGCTATATCTCACTCGAAAGATTTTTTCTTATCTCTCACTCGATTTTCTCACTCAAATTTACAATGCATTTTCTTGTAAGTTACAGTGTAATTTATGAAACTTACACTATAACTTTTGTAAGTTACACTATAATTTTTGAATCTTCGCATGTAAATTTTAAATTTTGTATTGGATTTGGTCTTTTTCTTGAGGATATGGTAATTTAGTGTCCATTATGGTGTTTCTTAATTGCTTTTTGCTTTTTATTATATCTATCGGATTTTAATCCAAAGATTAAAAATCTGTGTGATACGATCATAAAAATCTTTCGAAAGATGTATAGGTACTCCCTAGATCAAAACCGTAATTAATTAAGATGGAACAATAATCTTCATGAGGAGCCAGCAATTTCCTACTCCAAGTTATCTAGATCGTTGGGTTTGGATATACTCCGCCATGAGATCTAGTCCAGGTGCGTGGATCTAGAGGTAGACAAGGCGTAGCGCGCCACTGTCGAGCCCCGATTCCGGCGATGGCGAGCGAGAGGATCCCGCTCCCCGCCGTCAAAGGCAGGAGGCAGAGGCACTCGCCGAGAATACCATGGAGATCGCTGCCTCGAGCGACGGCGAGCGCCCGCCGCAACGAGGCGGGATCTCGCCGCCGGCGGGAGCGGCGGCGATCTCGGAGGGAGGAGAGGGAAGAGCACCGCGATCAGCCGATCAGGGGCTAATCTGCATAATGCATTCCAAAACAGGGGCTCATTTGCAAAGTTTACGACTCTTGGAGTGGTATTGATCATAACCATAAGGTCCTTTTCGAAAAAAATGATGATAGATACTCCTATCTAAACGGTATATTTGAAAAAAAAAATGTGAACAAAACTTTTATATATGTGTTCTTAGCTATCGAAAAGAAAGCGCTGAAGAATAAATTTTGATGAAAATCCCCAAAATCAACTCCAAATTTAAGGTTGCAAATTCAAATTTTAGCTGACGAAAAATAACTTATGAATAGAACTTTTATATATGCGTTCTTAGAGCATGTTCAGTAAAGCTCCTAAACACAGACCTTAAACAACTTTGAGAGGTTGAGACTAAAAAATAAAGTCCAACAGGCCCCTACTTAAGGCCCCAAAGTAGGAAGCCTCCCAAATTCCCTCCTACAGCCCCTAGGCCTGGGGGCTCTATCCCCAGCCCCTATCCAATTTTCTTTGGCGCGGGGGAATGCTTCCACGACGCGTGCTCCTTCCCGCGCGATTGCTTGCACGCCGCCGGCCGTCTTGTTGCGGGTGATTCTGCTCTAATCCGGCCATCGCCCTGCTATAGTATTGGTCACCTGCATGGATGCACGTATGCATGGATTTTTCTGCATATCGATGAGACGTGGTTTGGTTCCTGTTAAGTGTGAACAGCCATCTGCCGCCAGTGGCCAACTGAGATTTGATGCTGATCTAGAAGGAGCTACTACTATATCTCCTTGCATATATTCATGCAGTTTCGTGTATGCACTGGATATAATATATCTTAATATTGACCAGCTCATATATGATTATATGCATCCATATATGCATGTATATCATTGGATATTGAGTGTAGGATGGATGAACTGCTACTGCTACTAGCCGCAACAGATGGACTGATTGAGCATTCTAGTGAGTCATCCATGCACTCACACTAGTGTACGTATATGCACATATCAGTGTGATATTATAAAAAAAAATCAAATTTCAATTTAATTGTGTTGTTTGAAATTATTAATTTAAATTTGATTAAATTCTATGCGTTGGAAATATTAATATTTACATTATTGTGATATTAAACTAAACATAAAAGATGGATTATAAGATAAAATAGAGGAGAAAAAGAAATAGGGGCTAAGAAATAGATGTTGTTGCTGGAGTTAGAACCATTCTTAGAGTCCTGAGGAAATTGGGGCAGCCCCCATTTAACCTTTAGGGACTCTAAAATAGTAGCTATTGTTGGAGATGCTCTTAGCTATCGAAAAGAAAACACCGAAGAATAAACTTCGATGAAAATCCCCAAAATCAACTCTAAATTTAAAGAGAAAATCCCTTATATACCCCTGAAATTTTTCCTAATCCCTTCTATACCCCTGAATTTTGCTTACTTCCTTATATACCCCCAAAATTTGATTTTGATCCCTTGCATACCCCTCCCGTCAGTTGACCATTAGTTGACCGTGTATTTTCTATAAAAATGACCATTTTACCCTTGGATGAACAAAGAAATTCATGAATTACATTATTAAAAATATAAAAGCTTCTCGCATGAGACTATTATAGTTATGAGTTTGTTGTGCGATGCATTATTTATCCCAAAAAAATATTTTTAGATAATGAAATAAAAAAAATACGTATTTATTTTTTAAAAAAAAGGTCATAAAAATGAGGAGCATTCATATAAAGATAGGTATACCAATGTTCATAATATTTTTTTTATGAATGCTCCTGATAAAAAAAATCCATTGTCCTATTAAAATTTCAAATAAAAATTTTATTTTTTTTACATTTATTTTATTTTCAAAATTTATGTCAAAATTTTCTGCACTAATTATTTAGTCTCATTAGTTTTATAAAATGCACACGATGTGCACTCAAACAAAATTTTCAATTATTTTTGAAGCTTATATTTAAACCTAAAGCATCAAGGGCAAAAAAAGACATTTGCAACCAAACGTAACAGTAAAATGATGGAAAATGTAACGGTAGGGGCATGGAAGGGATCAAATTGAAATTTCAGGGGTACAGAAGGGATCGGGTAAATTTTAGGGGTATGAAAGGGATTGAGTGAGTTTTCAGGGGTACACAGGGAATTCACTCAAATTTAAAGCTGCAAATTTAAAATTTAGCTGATATGAGTATAAGTGTAAGCGGAAAGATGAGGTTGTTCAGTTGGCAGTGATCCAAAGAAGGGGGCTTATTTGAAAAAAATAATATCATTGGACTTGTGTTAAGTGTTAACCGTTGGATGGGAATCTAAGATCGAGTTACATTTACATAAAAATCCCTCTCATTTTCATGTTTGTAATTAGGCTCCTTCTCGGTTTCTCGCTCTCCGATCCCCCGACGAGGCGGCGGAGCTCCGGCGAACCTGGGAGGGGATCGGAGCAGGGTTCGTCAGGCCGCGACGGAGGGTGAGATTTCGCGCGGATCGCATGCCGGAGACGGAGGCTCCAACCGCTTGGCCGTTGTCGGGGATTGGAGATGCAGTTCTGAGAGGCCGCAGGCTGCGGCGAGCTTTCTCTGAACTTTTCTCATCCTGATATCAGCTAAAATCAATCGAGGTAATCAAGAACCTCTCGAATTGTTTGCTTCAGATCAGTAGTGTGGTTTCTGACTTCTGATATGCAGTGTGCAGGGATCGATGCAGCTTAGTATACTCACATTTTGTTGATTCTGCCCTGGTAAATTTGGAGAGATTTTTTTTTTTTTTGACGCCATTGCCATCTGATCTGAGTGGTCATAGCTATATAACCTCTCTTCTGAAGTATTGGAGCAGAAAATGCAGAATCAAACTGAAAAGGAATATCAAGGCATAATGCGACATGGAAGAATCTGAAGTCTGAACTCGCCTGATTGCATGCAGGTTCGGCAACATCGCCCAACATCTCTGATTGTCAATCAATGGTTCAAGGCATGATCCTCATCACAATGGCACTGGTAGATCAAAGGCTACACTAACAAGAATCCAAGCATGATCGCGATAGCGGGTTCGCGGCATCCACCAGGGAAAAATAAAGAGGGAAAAAAGAGCAAAAAAAGAAAAGGTTCCTACATGAATGAACATACTGACAGCAGACATCAAATATCCTTATCCTCCTGCCAGATGGCTGATGCTCTTACTACAGCCATATCTCTTGTGAAACAAGCATCTATGAGAATGACAGGCAAAGCTGGAGAAGCACTAGCAGAAGCATCAAGAGGTTGCTGCTTCTAACATGCTGCAGCTTCCACGAGAAGGCCGAGTCAACCTCGATCATGATACCGAATCTGCATGTTCCGGTGCTGGGGTCTTGGCCAGTGATCGTTGCGAGGTTCGAGAACCCACAGGCGACATCGTCTTGATCGTTCTTCTGGTAGTAGCTGTTGAACGCGTACGAGATGTTGCTTCTGGTGTCCAGTCCCCCACAAGATGTCTTGTAACCAAGGCTGGTGCAATCTGCCAGGGAGCAGGCATAGCTGATGCTATCTGAAAGCCTTGGATCAGTAAGGCCTATAGAAGGCTTCAGCACGCACCACTTCCTCTCAAGGTACTTCACGTTCTTCGCTTTGAGAAGGCCATGTGATTGCCCAAGATTCAGTTGATACTTTGGCAAGCCATCATAGGTGAATATCCCCCAGTGACGCTCAAAATTACCTGGCTGTATGCTCTTCTCATCCTCATCGATTAGACTGAACAAGTAAGCATCAACTGGTCCAGGCCTCATCGGCGTTCCTCGCCCTGTGGCAATATGTGTTAGGAAGCCTTGGTTGAAGTGCTGCGCCATCTGAATATTTGCATTCATGTCCCCGTCAGTTGGCCATCCAATCTCCCCAACAATGACTGGGAGATTTCCAAAGCCATTCTTCTTCAAAGCCCATATAAGTGTGTCATAGTTTGCATCAAACATGTTTGTGTATGTCGCAGAGCCATCAACAATGGGTGATGCGGCACCATCAAAGAAGGCGTAGTCGACAGGGAAGTTTGAATCAGAATAGAGGCTTATGAAAGGGTAGATGTTGACAGTGAAAGCTCCACCAGTATCGCTCAGGAATTTTACGATGGTGAGCATCAGATCATGAATATCTGTGCGGAAGTCCCCATCAGAAGGCTTGCTAGTCGATGATTGATAAACATCAGCATTGAGAGGGCATGTCACTCTAACTTGACTACCCAAGCCAGCCTTCACAAGCGCACTTTGTATGTTTCTGATGGCAGGAAAAGTAGTTTGCAGAAAGCTTCCATTGTATGTCTCCAGGAAAGGCTCGTTACCAACAGCAACATACCTGATATTACAATAGGAAAACCAAGATGTGAGATCAGATGGTTCAGTGAGTAAACATCACAGAGGAACGAACTTGCAGGATAAAGTTGGTGGGATATAGAACATGAGTTATATGATGTGTTGTCAATCATCTTTTCTTAAGAGTGCGGAACAATTGGATGATTCAATTATATTGAGGCTCCAAACCATAGGTCACTGATTCAAATCCAGGAAAGTCAGAGTGGAACTAATGCACACACCCAACATCTCATTAGTGGTAACCAAACTTGGCCACCAGCTTGGAGGTGGCACACTAGTAAGAAATGATATGGTTGCGTTTCATACAAACACACAGAGGTCAGCATGAGTATTCAGTGAACTTCAGTTGTTATGCTCTATAATGTTAGTCCAGGTCATGTTACTTAGCAGTTTAGTATATATTTATAAAGTTGCTGTTTTGATATATGTATAATAAGGGATACTCCATGTGTGAATAACATGTAGGAAAATTTCTTACCAACACAAACACAACACAGCATTGTTTAGTTAGAAAATCTAGTCTTGTTCAGTTCGCAATGATGAAAAGCAACAGATCCACTCATACTTCAAATAAGTGTGTGATACTTTTTGGTAGTAAACACAGTTCCCTTGTGTACAATTAGACATGACAAGCAAAAGGAATGGGAGGTTTTATAAGCCATCTACATAAGGGGATCCAGTGATCCACAAAATCCTATAAGTGAAAGAAGAGGCATTAGCATAGTGACAGAACAAAGAGCTTATGTAAGGTCTAGATGCGGGCATGCAGCAATTCAGAGTGGGGACAATTATTATTCTCTTTCAACGAATAAAGAGGACATGTCAAAAAAAAGGGTTATCCTCCGCACAGCAATGTCCATACCTTCCACCTTATATAGCATACTACTGAATGCTACTGGTCATATCGATAGCTCAGTTTCAGTTGAAAAAACAGTACTACCCAGAAGCAGTTGTTTGTGAACATATTCAAAACAAAAAACTGGTAAACTTCACCCAAATGATATGACTACCATAGTGTCACTTGAGTGCAAAAACCTCATATTCTTGCTACAATTCCATAGAGGAGCAAAATTCTTTACTAACAGTATAATGATAGCAAGAAAGTCTCCCAACATGGTGTATGCATTAATCAGGAGTACAAGCACAGATGGATAAAACACAACTGTACTTTGTGGTAATTTTGCCTCCAGAGACAAACATGCTCAACTGACTCATCCCAGCAAGGGTGCAAATCGCGTGAGCCACGAAAAATGCAATGCTATAGACTACAGGGGGTTTCTAACTCAACCACTCTACCAAATATGAGCTGCAGTTGGTAGGAACCAATCAACACAGATTGAATGCAACGCTAACCACTCTACATAAAAACTCTAGACTTAACCAGTATGCTCAAAAGGCCATATCACACTAGAACAACCAGGTTGAACGTAATGCCAACCCTCTACCAAAAGCTCTAGACTTAACCAGTACTGCTTAAAAAGCAAAATCACACAAGAGCTACTAGAGTGAACTGAAGAATCTTCAGTGAGTGAACTGAAGAATCTTCAGTGAGTGAGTGAGTGAGTATACTATACCTGATGCTTTCTAGACTTAACCAGTATGCTTAAAAGGCCATATGAAACTAGAACTACTAGAGTAAGCTGATTAGCTCCCCAGCAAAAACTGCTTGAGAGTGAACTGAAGAATCTTCAGGGAGTGAGTGAGTGAGTGAGACCTGATCTTGACGCCGTCGTTGAGGTAGTTGGAGACGTTCTGGTCGACCCACTTGTTGGCGGCCGCCATGCTGCTGGCCATGGCGGCGAGCATGTCGTTGGGGATGCCGACCATCACCTCCAGCCCGCTCTTCCTCAGGGCGCTCATGGTGTCCTCCCCGGCGTCGAACAGCTTCACCTTGTCGAACCCGTTGTCCTTGAGCATCTGCACCACCGTGTCCGGCGCCAGCGGGTGGCTCGCCTGCGTCCCCCAGTTCGCCCCTATCGCCTCCACCCCCACCGCCGCCGCCGCCGCCAGCCACACCCAACACGCCACCGCCGCCGCCGCCCTTCCATGCCACCACCAAGAAGAACCCATTCTGCTCAGATCTTGGGATGATTGATCAGGCAAGCTAAAGAAACCAGCAAAAAAGGGGGATTTTGGGATCGATGAACACGAAGAGCAAAGCTCCAAGAAACACTAGAAGCTCAAAGATCGAATCCTTTCCTGAGCTGCAAGAAGTGAAGGACGCTGGAATCTCTGAACTATTAAAGCAGCATCAAGAGCTCAAATCTTTGGGAATAAATGAAGCCCAGCCGAACTCATCAAACTCCACCTAAAGCTTGACCACGAAAGGAGATTTCCTTTGATAGCTAAATGCAAGGACTCACATCACACATCAGTCCAGGGGAGAGCATTAATGGCTAGCATACCAAGCTCAGGTAGGGAGTAAATTTGCTGATGAGGACAGCACAGGGGACAGATACTAGATTAGATGAGAGTGATAATAAAGGGCTTTGCCAAAGCTGGCACCAAACGAAGAGATGGGCACAGACAGCACACAAGAGAAAAACTTTTCTAGTATTGCTCCCAGGATTTGCAGGAGGGGAAAGTAGAACAAGATATTTTTCAGGAAAAAGGAGAAGGAGAAGAAAAGATTTGACAGTGTGAACCAAGAACTGAACAGAAAAAGGAGAAGATGATCACCTAGACAACACTCTCACACTCTTGAGCTGCAAGCTGAAGAGAGGATATATGCTCCATAACAGTGATTAGCACACAGAGTGGTAGTAACTGAGGTTTTTCAGCTCAAAAAAAAAAGGTACTAGAAAGATTCCTCACCATACATGCCAATCCAAGATACATCTAGTACTGTTGAGCAGAGGGGCTGAGATTAAAAGGCCAAAAGAAAAGCAAAGCATAAAAAGGCTACTACTCTGATATTCCCCACTACTCCACTCTGAGACGCTCAAACGCCTTGGTATTGGTAATCTGCTACTAGTGCTGGTCTTTTCTTGTTGCTGCTGCTTCTGTCTGTTTTTGTTTGTTTCTTTAATTGCTTTTTGTTACAGTTATCATGGAGAACTTGAGAGAGATGCTTAAAATACTTGTACAAATGCATTGGTTGTGGTAATCTCCTTGAACAAGCAAAATTAGGGGAGAACCAGCGAATGGAGAAAGTTAAACTAATGAGGACAGCATGGTGCATCGATGTGACAATAATCTGTTAAGGTGTCAGGTACGGAATCGCAGAAGGTGCCTTTGCCTCATTGGCTACACGTCAGCAGCATCACACTGAGATGAGGCCCCAGGCTGAAGGAACAGTGCAGCTGATAGCCTGGAAGGTTGTGTGACGTTGGATCGGTGGTTGGAGCTTTGAATAGAGGTTGGACCAAAGTTCGATTTGTGGAGTATCCAAGTAACCAAAGGAAAAAAACACTCTCAGGTGATACTAGTACTAAAGAAAAGATATCATGATGTTTATTTTAAGTTGGAACCATCAGCACAGTACTACTTTTCTAAACTTTTTAAAAATAAACATTCGACCCTTGATTCTCAAGATCAGGAGGGCAACCTTGCCATGACAGAAAAAACACTGTAGTGTAACAAAGGATTGGCAGAATGCCTAAAAGGTTCTTTTGAAGGAAAAAAAAAAGTACTTTGGTGGGACTATTTTGTTTTTCTTGTTTAAAAAAATCAAAAAAATTAATATGAAGTATAATACTCTACTTTCTTCTTTATCAATCATTGTTATACATGATAATATCATATTGATAACACTTCCCACATTTTTTCTAGCAAAAGAATGTGATAACAATATGTGATGTTGGTAAATCTATGTATTTATGAGAATGTGATAATCTAATTCTTCTGGTTTCAAAGTTGATGAGAACGGTAAATGGTCTTATAGTTCTGAATTTCCTCCTAAAACACGAAAATATGAAGTCATTTCTACATTGTAACTCTAATTGGCATTTTTCAGTAGTTAGTTGCTCATAATTTAATTGAAATCAGTACCCAATCTATTGCCTGATTGCTACAACGGTTACAAATTTAAGGTTGCTTTAAGTTCTGAAACACTTGAGTATTTGTACAAAGCATGATGTTTAACATCAGTACTTAATTATGGCTAGTATTTGTACAGTAAGCTCTAGTTCTCTATTTTAAGCTCCAGTTTTGAATTTCGTCTGTAGTTCTGAAATTCAGCTCTTGTTCTGAATTTTGACTTCGTTCTCAATGTAAGCTCTTGTCCTGAATTTTGTCTGTAGTTCTCAAATTAAGCTCTAGTTCTGATATTTATCTATATTTCTGAAATCTACCTCTAGTTTTGAATTTTGACTCTAGTCCTCAATTTAACCCCTAGTTATGTATTTTATCTATAATTCTGAAATTTACCTCTAGTTTTGAATATTGACTCTAGATTTGATTTTCAATAGTCATTTAATTTGTAGGTTATTAATCTGCTTTGATTTGTGCAGGTCCAAGTGTGAAGAAATGGAGATACTACCCGGATGATTTGAAGATCGCCATCTATCTACAATTGTTGGCAAAGACAGATCCTCTTGTGCTGCAACGTGGAGTTACCAAGGCAGTTGCATTGAATTTTGATTTGCCAGTTAGAGCTGTGCAGCAAGTATGACGCAGTGGACAGGATTATGGTGGGATAGAAGGTGTGATAAACAAGTTGCTCACAAGTTGTGGTTGCAAAAGAGTACAAATAGATATGGAATCTATCAGAGACGTGCCTTTGAGAGATCGCACAACCATTCAGGATCTTGCCAATGCGCTCGGTGTGAAGTAGTCCACACTTCATAGGCATTTTAAGGAAGGCCAGTTTCGTTGCCTACACGCATTAATTCCATACATGCATGCATGCGTTACGAGGAGGCGTCAGCGAGATTACCAATGGCACTAGCTCTATGTGATGATTAATATGGCATTTTTGGTTTTTGCTAGTGGGATGATCAATTTGGGAAGGAGGGAGTATTTCTTTAGTTAGCAATTATTAATCATTAATTCAGGATTAGGCAGCAAGCTCGCTGCGCAACCCCACGAGCTCGTGCGTTGCCACGAGTTTGCTTCTTTGATATGCGGCAGTAGTATATTTTTTCCAGTATATTTTCAAATATCACTTTGTGTCTTTTGTCCACGGCAAAACGAGGTTACTAGAGCACACATAAAAATGGAAGATAGGTGAATTTTAATACTCTTATCTGGTACATTAGTGAGCACACTTGGTTTATGAGCTTAATGGTTATGAACTCACCAGATTCAAATGTCGCCTTCTTTAGCGTGTTAGGGGAAATGCATCTTGCCCCTCTCTAATAATGTATTTTGTATTATCTAGTTATAATAAAACCTCACAGGGCATATTCTTTTAAATATGTTATTTCTTTCACAATGGCTCGTACAATGTAAGTTATTGCATAATGCAAATATTCCATTTTAAAAATAGTTTTGGTTGCCTTTGGTGATTGGAGTAGCTAGTTTTATTTTCTTTCTAAAGTTTCGAAAGTACTTACAATTAGCATCTCCATGAAATGCCACAAAGCACTCAAATACTTCCTTCAATCATAAATATTTGATATTTATGACAAGATTTGGTTTTAAAACTCTTTTAATCAATCTTATATTAGAATAAGTTTACAATATCATGGGATGGTATTTTCCAAGGCAAGACTAGTATTTGTGCATACATTTTCATTTGAGAAATAATTGATTATCAAAGTTTTAAAAGTCTGAACAAATCTTACCCCAAAACATCAAATATCTAGGACAAGATTTTGTCGGACCTCTAACACTTCAACCATCAATAATATCTTGAATGTGTGGGTTAGAGAAAAAATACGGTATACCCATATTTACCTTGAAAAGCACTATTAAAATATCATAGATTTTATAAACTTAATATAATATAAAAATGTTGATCAAAGTTTTAAATTTTAACCAAATGTTGTCATAACATTTATAACCAAAGTGAGTAGTTTATTACAAATCTACCAAAACGATTGGTCGAATATATTCGAAGTACTGAAATCACTACAATAAATACTAAAAAGATTTATACAAGATAACTAAGTAATGGATAGAAGCAACTTTTTTATTTTGCTTAACTTGCAAGGGAAACACTGAAACATCCATAATTACAACAATTGCAAATTTGCCACTTGTTTAAATCGTTATTGTAAAACTACCACTAGAAATATGTAAAATTACCACTAGAACGATCATTCGATGGTATCCTTACAAAATTAAAAAAAACAGTAGCAAATTTACAAATGTCAATAAATAATTCTCCACTTGAATATTTGAATAGGAAACATAAATAATTTTGCTTGAATAATATTTGAAGGGAGAGAGAGGCTGAAGCCCTAAATTCCCCTCCTCCGCCGACCAAAAGCCCTAAACCCTAACCCCAGCCAACGCGTCTTCCTGCCCATCCCCGGCGGCGGCGGCGGCGTCAGCGGCGGAGGTCGGCGACTAGTACCAGCGAGGAGGAGGAGAAGAAGGCAACCGGAGATGCCGCTGGGGCAACGCGCGGGGGACAAGAGCGAGTCCCGCTACTGCGGGGTGGAGGTGCTCGACTTCCCCGCCGGCGAGGAGCTCCCCGCCGTCCTCTCCCACTCCCTCTCCTCCTCCTTCGACTTCCTCCTCGCCCCCCTCGTGAGTACTACTCCACTAGCGCCTCCGCCCTTACTCGATTCCGCCTCCTCTCTGAGACTACTAGCTCACTTGGTGGTGGTGGCGCTGCTGCAGGTTGATCCCGACTACCGGCCGACGCCCGGGTCCGTCCTCCCCGTGGCGGCGTCGGACCTCGTCCTCGGCCCGGCCCAGTGGAGCAGCCACATCGTCGGGAAGATCAGTGAGTGGATTGATTTGGATGCGGAGGACGAGCAACTCCGGTTGGACTCCGAGATCACTCTGAAGCAGGAGATTGCGTGGGCGTCTCATCTCTCGTTGCAGGTCCGTTGGATTCAGTGAATTTCACAAAATTATTAAATGTTTAATGGGAGTTTCTAATTGCGCATCAAGGAAATCGCTCTGGAGAGTTCATCACTTTTGCAATTTTGCAACCAGGAAGTGCTAGAGATAATTTTGATAGTGTTGATGGGCGATTGTCATGTATAAGAGTTCTCCACCATTTATGCATATTTTCAAGCTTGTCAGTGTGTAAATTAGTTATGCTTCCGAAGTCCATAACTAGAAACTAGAATAATTCCTACTTCCTCTGTTTCACAATGTAAGTCATTCTAGCATTTCCCACATTCGTATTGATGCTAATGAATCTAGATAGATATACATGTTTAGATTCATTAGCATCAATATGAATGTGGGAAATGCTAGAATGACTTACATTGTGAAACGGAGGGAGTATAAGATTTCCTTACTTGGCGTGTTTGGGAGCTAGACTGACCCATATGCATTCTTGAAAACATGGTCTGAATCCTAGAAATTGCATGCATTTTCTTTCAGGCGTGCGTTCTTCCTCCTCCCAAGAGATCTTCTTGTGCCAACTATGCTAGAGTTGTGAATCATATTTTGCAAGGCCTGACCAATTTGCAGGTATCTTCCTCCATTTTCAATTACATATGTTGTGTATTGTGCATGTCATAAATGTTTCAATTTGATGAACATTTAGCTTTTGTTTGTTCTGTCTCTTTCTTAAGTTGTGGCTTAGGATACCTCTGGAGAAGTCTGAACCTATGGATGAAGACCATGATGGAGCAAAAGATAATAGCGACATGGTAAATTTCTGATAATTCTAGACTGGCCTGGACTGTTAAGCAGCAGACTGTTATATATCTGCATGTGCGGGGTAAATCTCACTCTTGAGTGCCCTTTTAAATTGCAGAGTGATACCGTAGACTCTTGGGAATGGTGGAATTCATTTAGACTATTATGTGAGCATAGCAGTCAACTGTGTGTGGCGCTTGATGTTTTGTAAGTGATGTTCTTGCATTGTTGCACCAAGTGCTTTCTTCCAAGTGAAGATGTCACTGATAATAAATCTATCATGTTATAGTTTTGGTTTTCATTACAAAGGTTGGCTATTCACTTATCAGGAGCACACTGCCATCTATGAATTCACTAGGGCGGTGGTTTGGGGAGCCTGTAAGAGCTGCAATTCTTCAAACAAATGTAACTGTACTACTTATTCAATTAAAGATGACATGCGATCTCCTTTCTTTGGAGATAAGAATAACCCTTCATGGTTCTGATCACTAAACGATTTTTCGTCTCCCAGGCTTTTCTGACAAATGCCAGAGGTTATCCTTGCCTGTCAAAGCGCCACCAGAAGCTGCTTACTGGATTTTTTAACCATTCGGTTCAGGTGTGTTCCTTGTGCTTCCTTCTATCAAGCCTTTCCTCTCTTATCTTTTCTGCTAAGAACCCAATGCACAGGGTGCCTCCATTTCCATTCCAAATTTCAAAGGGCATCTTACTGTACCTTTTCTCTCGGATTTTTCACCCTCTGTTTTTCTTTAGGTTATAATATCTGGGAGATCAAATCATAACGTATCCCAAGGAGGAGTGCTCTCAGGTGATGAAAACCACACTGAAGGTAATTCTTGCAAAATTTGAGATTTATAATTTATTGGTTTTGTTATGTATTTCAACCACACATGAACTGGATTTATACATGAACTGAAAATTTCTTTTCAATATGTTTTAAGTAATAGTGGTGCTCTACAAACTTAACTTTGAAACAAATTCAGAGAGCAAAAGTCAGGACTTGAAATGAAATTAGCTGCTTGAATTTCTGAGGCGCACTGCAAAATGTATATTTTTTCTTTAGCACATGACTTATCTGTTGCCTAAACTGTTGTTTTAGATACTGCTGTTCGGCATGCATTGAGCCCATACCTTGACTACATTGCTTACATATATCAGAGGATGGACCCACTTCCTGAACAGGAACGCTTTGAGGTATTTAGTTTATCAGACTATCTCTCTGATTTGGCCCATGAGCTGATTCATTTAAGCGAGAGCTTTCTTGACCTTGAATTTATTTGCTTTATTCAGATCAATTATAGGGATTTTCTGCAATCTCCTCTCCAGGTAATTCCTATTCTGTAGCCCCCCCTTCTTTCTCCTCCCCTCATCATTTTGTTTTAATCTTTCCTCACAACATTACATTTTCTTGCAGCCTCTAATGGACAATTTGGAAGCTCAGACATACGAGACTTTTGAGAAAGATACCGTGAAATATACCCAGGTTTCTGCTAGATGTTTTGAATATCTTTAAATGTTACTGTGAAAATCACTAATTTAAAGCGACAGCAAATTTATCTTTCGAATCGGGCATTCTGATTATCGCTTCTCATTTTTTTTTAGAGAAAATCGAGCAATTCCCATTCCAAACATTGCCACTAAGAAAAAAATGACACTTTAAAGGCTGTAATTGTTCCGGTGCATCTCCAAAGACCGTTTTTTTTTTTTTTTGCCAATATGGCCATAGAAATAATTTACAGCTAGGTCCACCACATCACTTGACATTTTCCCCTGTCTGCATGGTATAAGCCATCTTGGGTTTCCCCAGGTTATCTTGAGCAAAGAAACCACAATGCAGGCATGTTCCATTCATACTAGCTTGCAGGTCTTGAGACTTGACTCTGTCCTTAAGATCAGCAAAGTGCTGGTTTGTCATGACACAGAAATAGTAGTCGCAGTATGCTTGTAGCCCCGTTATCTGTGTAGGCCAGCACCAGTCATGGGGCTGTATGCATCTGCACTGGATCACACTGATAGTAACTAGACTCCGTGCTTATCGTGGTTTCCCGGCAATGATTTAACTATGAATTAGAGGCAATGCTACCTAGAGACATGAGTGTGGGTAAAACTCGTTCTTTTTTTTTTTTGTGCGTGCGTGTGTGTGTGTGTGTGTGTGTGCATGTGTGTGTGTTTGGGGGGGGGGGGTACTTGGGTTCCCCTTAATTTTTTTCCTGTTCAACATAAACTCTAATACCAGTGTTGGCTGTATTAATGTTTTTCTGTTTTTCATCATATGAACAGTATCAAAGAGCAATTGCTAAGGCATTGGTTGATAGAGTTTCCGATGATGATGTCTCAACAACAAAAACAGTAAGATTGGACCTGCCATATTTTATCTTCCTCGCCAAATCATGTCTTGTTTCTGTATTGCCTATTGTTACTTGTTACTCTATTTTCTTATTATCTTACCTTTAGAATTCTATGATTTAACTTCATTTACTGTTCCATAAAGGTGCTGATGGTTGTTGGAGCAGGCCGGGGGCCACTAGTGAGAGCGTCGTTACAGGTGGCTACCTTTTCTAATGAAGCTTCTGAACTCACTAAAAATCTTGACGAATGTTCTTGTGCTTAAATAATGCAATTGCAATGCATGCCATTTTTTTTCCGTATACATGCTTCACTATCTGAATATGCTTTCATATTCAATGCAGGCTGCTGAGGAAACTGGCCGCAAGCTAAAAGTATACGCCGTCGAGAAAAATCCTAATGCTGTTATCACCCTTCACGTGAGTTATTCAACGAATACAGCATTTGTCATTTTCGTTCTCAGATAGTTGATTGGATGTGGAAAGCTTGTCAGTGTAATCATTGTTGCAATCCTTTGTCCTTATGTTTTGTTGATAGTCGGGTTTTTCTCCTGTTTATCCTGTACGTGTGCAAATATGATTACATGATGACTATCTGATGTGCTTTGGGGCGGTGAAACAGAGTTTGATCAAATTGGAAGGATGGGAAAGCTTGGTTACTATAATTTCAAGTGACATGCGGTGCTGGGAAGCCCCTGAGAAAGCAGATATTTTGGTATGTTGATCCCTGCTATAAATGGACATTTCATATCTTTTCAAAGTGGTTAAATCAATGGCTTATATGCAAATATGGTACAGGTCAGTGAGTTGCTTGGTTCCTTTGGTGATAATGAACTTTCTCCCGAGTGTCTAGATGGTGCTCAGAGATTCTTGAAGCCAGATGGGATTTCTATTCCTTCATCGTACTGACCTTTTCTGTCCTTAGTCTATATTTTCATCTTTCTTGGATCAATTAAATCCCAGATATCCTTTTGTTCTTATATCATTTGATAACTTATGTTCCTTTGCAGATACACTAGCTTTATTGAACCTATAACAGCATCAAAACTACACAACGATGTAAGTGCCTCTACTATATCAATGATAACCGTAAGATATTTATGGAGTTTGAAGTGAATTGGTTTATACAGATCAAAGCACATAAAGATATTGCACATTTTGAAACTGCATATGTTGTCAAACTACACCGAATAGCAAGACTTGCACCAACACAATCGGTGAGCGACCACAGTTTCTGCTGTATTTATCCCTCATCAATAGTGTATCCTATCACATTTTGTGATATGTTATCTTTTCCAAAGAACTATTTCATTTGATTATCACCATTTTAAAACATGTAGGTTTTTACTTTTGATCATCCAAATCCCTCACCAAATGCTAGTAACCAAAGGTATACCAAGTTGAAATTTGAGATACCACAAGAGACGGGATCATGCCTCGTGCACGGTATGTAGCTATTGAGTTATACTTGTGATTATACTTTGCTATGTTACAAGGTAGAAACATCTATATATTTGGCAGAATTTGACTCTACTCATTCCCATCATTTTGGCAGGATTTGCTGGATATTTTGATGCCGTATTGTATAAAGATGTTCATCTTGGAATTGAACCAAACACGGCTACACCAAACATGTTTAGCTGGTACACTAAATGGCAAAACCTGATTTTTATGTGCTGGCAATAACTGTTCTTGAATAGTGCCTTCAATATTATCTTTTATGTATCTCATCAGGTTCCCGATCTTCTTCCCATTGAGAAAGCCCATCTACGTACCGTCGAAGACGCCTATAGAAGTGCACTTTTGGCGATGCTGCGGTGCAACAAAGGTATTGTGGTTTATCGCACTGCTTTTGATTATGAGATGTTTGAATACCCCTTACCTGAAATCTCATCTCCCGCATTGCTACAGGTGTGGTACGAGTGGGCTGTGACGGCACCTTCTCCATCACCAATCCATAACAGCAATGGTCGATCATATTGGGTCGGCCTATAAGTAAAGCCATGAAGCCAGTTTTGTTTTGTTCCGATTTTCTTTTTAGGGATTCTTTTTGTTGTCTTTTGAAAGAGAGGAGAGAACAGATTCCATTGTATGGTTTCTTGTGTGGAGTGACTCTTTATCAGATATGCTGCGTGGGAGATTGATTCTTCAGCCTTAAAGCAAGTGATAACTGACAGTGGAAGAAACGCATCTTGGATGCACAGGACCAGAGCAACCCAGTAAAAAACAAATGATATATCTTGATGGGTTGATGTGTAACATCAGAGCAGGTACAATAATTGGCGGTAGTAGTTCCATGTAGGATTTTGTGATGATCTGTAGGAGAAAGGGGAAGAGAGAGAGAGTAAGCTGGTGACTAATTTGTTGTCGGGCTGCACGCGCCGCTCGAGGAGACTGTGGGGCCTGCCTTGCGCGGCCTCTTCTCCTCGCCAACTCCCGCATCAGCCATGCCTTTCGCTGCGATGTTGCCTGCCTCCGTCGCTAACTGCCGCCGCTGCCCTTGTTGCCTGCCGTATGGCCGCCGCTGTCTTCCGACGTCCGCCGCACGGTCACCACCGTCTTTCGCATGAGCCGTCGCTACCCCGGTCGCTCGCCGCACAACCACCGCCGTCTTTTGCCTCCGCCGCGCGGCCTGGCTGCCACCGTCTTCCGCATCAGCCACGCGACCCGGTCGCCGCTACCCTCGTCGCCCGTCGTACAACTGCCGCCGTCTTCCGCCTCAATTGTGCGGCCTAGCCGCCGCTGCCCCCCATCGCCCGCCGCACGGTCGCCGCCATCTTCCGCCTTAGCCTTGCGACCCGGCTGCCGTTGCCCCCGTCGCCCGCCGCACAGCCGCTGTTGTTTTCTGCCTCCGCCATGCTGCCCGGCCGTCGCCATCTTCCACCTCAATTGCACGGCCTAGCCGCTGCCATCTCCTGTGTCCGCCGCCGCTGTCTTTCGTTGTCGGTGACAGGAATCGAGGGAATAGGAGAAGAAGACATGACCTGTGAGGGGATAGAAGAAGAAGACATGACCTGTGAGGGGATAGAAGGAGAAAGAGAATGTGAGGTATGAGAAGATGGTGGGTTCCACGAATCAATAAAATATTCGTGTTATAGTATTTCTATTATATATACATTAGCTACACTGCTTATTATAGATGATATGGGTATTTTTTTGGAGCCAACAGTAGGCTATATTATTGACCTTGCTCTCATCTTTCATGAGCTAGATTTGTTTGGAGTTGAATTCCACAATTTCCAGTTTTTTCTTTACAATGCTTTTGGTACTTGTGGTGCATAGTCATGAGTAAGACAGAGGGGCTGTTTAGATTGTAGATAAAATAAGTAAGTTGGTAATATTAGCAAAATTTTGGTAGGATTTCTTATGTATTTATCAAAGTTGTCAAAAAAAAAAACTAAATGTAGACACATCGTCAGCAACTTTGAAAAAAAGGTATAATTGAAAATGACATTATTATGATATAAAAAAAAGATAGCAAACAAATTCAGTGACTGGCTAAGGCATGCAAAAGGGTGAATTTGTGGCACGCAAAAAGACACATAATTAATTAAGTTTTACCTTCTCTACAAAAAATAGATTGATATGATTTTTTAAAGATACTTTTGTATATTTTTTTCAAAAACACACTATTTAATAATTTAAAAAGTGTGCGTGTGAAAAACGAGAGAGATGATTTCCAGAAATGACGGATAAAAAAGGTTCCCGTTTCTTGTGAGAATTCAATTATTTACTCCAAAATTTATACTACTAGAACCACATGAAATTTCAAAAGCCTAAAACCTTTGGACATGTCATTTTGGACCTAACCACATCCTTGACCGTCGATTTGTACCCCAAATCATTTAAACGTGATCAAAATTATAATATACACATAAATTTAATATTAAACTTCTTGAACATGAAAAACCAATGTATTTTTTTGCCTTTTTGTTTCAAACTCGAAGTCAAAGTCAAACAGAACAGCCACGTCTGTCTCTTTCTCGAAGGCCAACTCCGGAGAAAGAACCCGAAGCTTCCAGTAGCTAGCACCTAGCAGTAGTACTCCACTTGCCCCAGTAGTAACTGCCTGGAAACTTCCGGAAGCATCGATCTGGAGAGAGAGAGAGAGGGGCAGCCAAGATTGAAGCGCACGATAGTACGAACGCGCACAAATCCCGCCCCTCCTCTCCTCCTCCCCGAACCGCAGGAACGCGATTTGAATCGATCGATCGATCGATCTCATCTCCCCCCTTTCGCCTGAGATCTGCAGCAAACGGCTGATTTGTCCCCGCTGATGGAGGAGACCGCGACGGCGGCGGCCGCGGCGGAGAAGGCGTCGTCGTATAGGTACTGGGTGCGGGAGGCCACCGGGGACGCCGCGCCGCTGCCCGTCCCCCGCAAGCTCGACGCGACCGCCGCCGCCGCCGCCAACGGGAACGGCAACCCGCCGCCGCTCGGCTCCGTGTGGAATCAGGTGAGGGGGTCCCCCTCCTCCTCTCATCTTCTTGTCAGATTCGGACTTGGGGGAATGGACGTTGCTACTACTGTTACATATGTTGTGGCAAACTTGCAATCAATTGTTCATGTCGTGGAATGAGCTGATGATATGATATGATAGATATCCCATCTCTAGCACGAACGAACTCGCATTTCATCGGAGTTTGATATTATTGTTACTCTCAATCACTACTAGTTCGTTCGGCATAGTCTTGTTCGCGGAGACTATTTGAATACATTGGGGGTGCAATGCTGAATTGGAATCGTGGATGCTCATCGTTTCTCTTTGATTGATTTGATACGTTTCCAATAGGTGGTGGAGTTTATTTAGGTGGAATTTTTTGCTTAGTTTGCATGAGATATCCAACGCTCCTAGCACTATCGCATCGCCCGGTTTCCTCTTGCGGACTGCATTATCCTCCTCTATGATATCATATGTTTTGTTTAGGTTGAATGGGTTTTGATGTACTATGAGCTTCAAAAACAATTGCTGTGACCATGGTCTTAATTCACCCTGTGGGAATTGGAGGAAACATTTGGTAGGTAGAGTAATAGAAGAATAACAAAAACAGGGTTTAAAAGATTTGAAACTTTCAGCTGGCAGGACAATACTGTGCTTTTGATTCCTATTGATTTGGTGTAAATTGATCTTTTTTCCTGCAAAATAGATTTTATTACCTGTAGGTGGGACCTCTGTTCTCATGAAATTTAATTTTGTTCAATGTAACTAGAGACACATAATAAACATTGATGTGGATAGACGTTAAGAAGAAATGTAACTTCGTACCTTAGGCTTCACAAGGCATAGCTAAACGTCCATCGCATATATTTGTTTGGGTCACTAACCATGACATGTTATGAATCATGCCATTTTAGGCAATTTTCCCTTTTAGTTTATGTTGAAGCTTGCCGTTTTTGTTTGACGCTATAGTTGTTGGTATGTTGCAGCAGTAGCTATACTGCAGCACTCTTCATTTTCTATGTTATAGGGTTCTGATGTGTTGTCTGCACTTCTGCAGGCTGGAACCTGGGAGGAAAAGAACCTCAATTCATGGGCTAACAGTAGGATAAAGGTACAGTAGTTTGCTGGCAAACTGTTGGCGAAGTACTTAAATACTACTTCCTCTGTTTCACAATGTAAGACTTTCTAGCATTGCCTACATTTATATAGATGTTAATGAATCTAGGCATATATATATGTCTAGATTCATTAACTTCTATATGAATATGGGCAATGCTAGAAAGTCTTATAGTACCTATAAGAACATGTTGGTGATTCCTCATTCCAGCCTTAGAAATTCTCTGATAATGCTGTCTAATCTGCACAACAGGAAATGTTGGGTTCTTTAGATTCGCTAGAATTCCCTACAGGGAAGGCATCTCTTGATGGAGTGTCTAAATGCATTGGTGATGTAAGTGCTATTCTTTTACCTGGCTATTGATACATAAATTTGTACAATTACTTGTGATGGTTAGATGGCCATTTTCTGTTTGTTTGCTCTTTATTGTGCTAGTTTAATATGTGAATATATCCTTTGATATTGGCAGGCCTTTCTAGTCACCGTTCGTAATAAGAAGAGAGTAGGGTATACCTATGAACTAAGCTTGAAATTTAAGGGTAACTTCGATGAAGTTTCAGAATTGACATCACTCAGCTAGTTTCTCCTTCATTCTTTGTGGAGTGTTTACTAACGCTTTTAATGTTTATTAGGTGAATGGTTAATTAAAGAAGAAAAGATGAAGGTCAAAGGCCATCTGGACATTCCTGAGTTTTCTTTCGGTGAGCTGGAGGACTTGGAGGTAAAGCTACTATTCTGTACGAATTTCATACCATTATAATCAAGACAAGTCAGGTCGGTAATGGCAAATCCTTTTCTTCTGCCATCCGGTTTCAGGTAGAAGTAAGGTTTACCGATGACAAGGGCCTCGCATCCGACGACAAGAGGCAGATTTGCAAGGACCTCAAGTCCTTCCTTTCACCTATCCGGGAGAAACTGCGCGCATTCGAAGAAGAGCTCAAGGATAGGTAACAGAAAATGCCATCAAACCGGCAGCATCAGCAAGGCAAGTAATTGCCCTGCTTTCCCAATATTAGCGTCGAATCATGTAACGTTGTAACGGCAGCAGAATGATCATCTGAGTTTGATATTCATGCCTTGTTAGATCACTTAAGGTCCCATATTTTTCGCAATATCCGATCGCATGTAACTGCGACTGTATGTTGTAGACACTTTGTTGTAAACTCCGGTCGTCCAGATGAATATGAAGTTATGAACTGTCAAAAAAACAAAATATTATCCTGTCTGCTTTTTCACGAATGTTATACGATGGATCACATTGAGATAGGCCGGCTTAACTGGCGTTGATAGAATTTTGTTGTAGCATTATTTGGGAGCCAAATTCTGATGAGCTTATTTGGATTGTCAACATGGCCCAAAGTTTTAATGGGCCAACGTGGAAGAGGTCCTAATTTAGCCCTGACATAACAGGTAGAGAAAATTTGCTACTCCCTCTATTTTCATTTTAATTAACGTTTTGGACAATAACACGGTCTACAAGATATATCTTTGACCTTATTTTTCTATTATAATATATACAATAAATAAATGCATGTTTACTTTTATTATAGTGCTTTAAAAGATAAATTTATATATGTTGTTCTAGTTTCTTTAAAATAAATATTTTTAAAGTTATTGATGGTCAAAGTTATAAAAGTTTGACCTTAATCATGTTCAAAACGTCAATTAATATAGAACCGGAGGGAGTATATAATTAGGAACTACTAGGCTTGAAATTAAAGGGTGAATTTTTATATTTTTATAAGAGCAGGTTTATGGAAACTGCACACTGGATATCATGATGTAACATGAGAAAAGAAGAAAACCTTGGTTGGAATTGGCACACCTTATCGTTGCTTTTGTCCTTATCCATGCTTTGCAAGCTCAGTTCTTCCATATCTCAATTCAATCAAAGTGTCACCATCAAAACACGAGTGGCACATTTTACATCTTTGGTCCTTAATCAAATAAGTGGCATTTTTGTTTACTCTATAATCTAATATATTGCTCCATGACATCTAAACCATTCTAGACTTCTTAGACTGTTCGGAATCTCTCGTGCACGTAAAATGGAACGATTCATTAACGTATAATTAATTAAGTATTAATAATTTTTAAAAATAGATTAATAAGATTTTTTAAAGCTACTATTTTGTAGAAAAGTTTTGCAAAAAATATATTATTTAGCAGTTTAAAAAAGGTGTACGTGGAAAAAGAGAAAGATGAGTTGGTAAAGAAGGGGAAGAACACATGCCGTGTTTAGATTCATTTTTTTTTTCAAACTTACAACTTTTCCGTCACACCAAATGTTTGGACACATGCATGGAGCACTAAATGTGGATGAAAAAAAATCAATTGCACAGTTTGCGTGTAAATCACGAGACGAATCTTTTGAGCCTAATTACGTCATGATTTGATAATATGGTGCTATAGTAAACATTTGCTAATGATAGATTAATTAGGCTTACTAGATTCGTCTAGCAGTTTACAGGTGGAATCTGTAATTTATTTTATTATTAGTCTACGTTTAATACTTTTAAATATGTGTGCGTATACTTCAATAAAATTTGGACAAACGAACTAAACACAGCCACAGCCGTGTTTTACTACTCCGAGCATGATTGAATCAGGAATTCTACGATTACATCATATGCTTACACTCCTAGGACTACTTTGCAGTTTGCAGCAAGTGTGGAACTCAATTTGGATGGGCATCTCATGAGAGGCAGACACCTGTTAGTTTTCCTGGGATTAATTGGACAGATAGATATAGATTTGGACAGACATGCGTGAGATCTTCAAAAGAGTTTAAGATATCCAGTCAGTGGCAAATTTGGTTAGGCAACGGAAGCTCAGTTACTGGTCTAATCCTCCATGGCAATCTCTCGACCACTCGCTAATTATTAACTTAATTATCCCGCAATTAGCTTTTCCATAGATGACTATTTAATTATGCTAGATATGATCGAGACATGTGTTTATGAAAACAAGTAGTAATCCCTCCTCATTCCCAACTCAAATTGACAAGGCACGACGATTTAGGCTACATTCTTTTGAACACTTTCCTAACTTATGCTCTATCGTTTTCTGCCTTCTCAAACTATTAAATAATATATATTTTTTAATTTTTTCATAGAAAAGCTGCTTTAAAAAAATCATATTTATTTATTTTTCTAGTTGTTTTAGCTAATATTTAATTAATTATGTGTTAATATATCACTCCGTTTAACGTGTTGGGAGTGATGGTTATCCTAACCCAAATGAACCCGAATGAACGAACGTAGCCTTAGAATATGTGTAATATAATGGAATACTCAGTAAATAATTTAATATAATGGTAAACTGATTATTAATTTGTAGTGTTAATTTCGTTCAAACCAGTAAATAATTTCACTATCATACCCAGTTTTCAGATGTCGTTATACGCGTACATCTACGGTCTTTCTTTACGAGAAACAATTTAGAGAACAGAGCAGCATCAGTTTTGTCGTCTAGTGGATCTACGTGGACCAATCAGTGTCCTGGAAGGCTGGGACCAATGGGTGGGGTCCACCGGAACACAAAACGAACTCACATGGAAAGTTGGAAACTATTTCTGCATGCAGGCTGATTTTTTTCCCCTAATGGAATTTTATTTTCTTCCGACTCCTTTTGGAACACACCAATTTCTTCTGATTTTTCCCCTAATGAAAGTTTCATTTTGCAAATTTGAACACACCAATTTCATAGTACAAAACAGTTTGATTCCGTGGAGTTTTTCAAAACCCTTCATTTTGTATGTTTGAAGTTTTAGTGATTTGTGGTCTAGGAAGGAAAATCCACATGATTAAGCTTTTTTTTTTTAAGAACTCACATGATTAAGCTTACCCTACCCATGATTAACTCAAGCACACGCACTAGCTAGTACAGTACACCCTTTCCAAAATAAGTTCATTTATAAATTTCTGTCTCCAACGCTTGACCGCTCGTCTTTGATTTTTTTCATGAATATTTTTATTGTTATTAGATGATAAAATATGAATAATATTTTATGTGTGACTTATTTTTTATAAACTTTTTTAAATAAAACGGACGGTTAAACGTTGGAAAAAAAACCAGAAACGAATTTATTTTGGGACGGGGGTGCAGGACTATAGATGGCTTGAAATCTTAATTAATTTGACGGCATCACACAGTTTAATTATTTGGTCAACCCGTCACGCAAGCGACGGCTTCGTTTTGCTTTGGCATTTACGCTAGGCTAATCTGAATCAGGTCAGCAAGTTTTTGCTTTCCTATTCGTCACAGCTTAGCTGTGATTTACAAATTACAATAATCAATTCTGCTACCACCACATAGGATAGGAGGACTTAGCTTACAAGAAAAATATTCGTGCGGTTGATTATTAAAACAAAATGTGAACATAAATTGAGGGATTTGTAAAAGCATCAGACTTTGACAAAACTTGCTTGAGTTTCTTCAGAATTAGGCATCCATTTTGCTGCAGATTGCAGGTGTTGAGACACTGCAGCATTTTGTGCAAAAGCACAGTAGCACAAAAGCAACAGAAAGCAACAGCGTGCTTGTATCTTCTACTACTACTTCAGACTCTTTCAGAGTGAAACGAGAACAGTCAAAACAATCAACTATCCATCCAAGGTGGTTCACAGAAATGACTAATCATTTGCAGGCAGGAGTAATTTAGAGAGAGAGAGAGAGGGAGCGAGAGAGGACAGTTTGGATAGGAGAAGAGAGGAGAGAGGGTGCTTGCTGTGGAAGGAGAGGACTGACAGGTTCTTGTTTCTGAATCTCTTCAACTCATCTTCTTGATTATCAGATGGAGTTGAATCTTCCATCTTGTTTGCATTTTCTTACCTGGATTCACGCCTTCTTGGCTTCGTTCTTTCTTGGATTTGCAGTCCTAGGTTGTCTTGTTCTCATTTCTCAATTCTCATGGTGCAGTTGCGTTTTTTAGTTTATTTGTGTGCTTACTCTGGCGACAGCTGCCTATCTCCTTTTGCTCTCTTTCAGATTTCTGTTCTTCCCCTTTCTGCTTTTCTTCCCGGGCATCGGTTGGAATTGTCATGATTTTCTTTTGAAGTGCGCAACTCTTTCTGAGGAAAAGAGAATGCCATGACCTTAATTGATGTGATTTTACCTCAAACCATACAATATTTTCATAGGTGGCTTGTATATGTTTCTATTTTTCTTAAATTTGATTTGAGTTTGGCTTCTGAATAGGAAAGTTTGATGTGTGCTCTGATGTATAGACAAGACTTTTCTTGTCACTTAAAGGTTGGCTGCTGTTAGATTGTTGAAAGGTTCAAATCATTTGTCCATCTTGTTTTGTCCAGAATTTTACTATATTCAGCATATTAGTTTAAGTTAGCATGGTTTTATCTCTTCTTTTGTCTCCAAGTTATCTTTCTGATAGAAGCCAAGCCCAATCGACAAGATTGAGCTTCTGTACCCATATTTCTTAACAAAATTTCAATCTATTTATGACAAAAAAAAAACACACACATTTTGGACTACATGCTCTGATAAGGCTTCAATTTTTCAGTGCTATTGACTGGATATTTACTTTTGTAGTGCAGGCTTGGAGCAAGCATTCCATCTCAGTTCTCATATTAGGTGTGAATGACCAAGAAATCAACAATCTCAAGGAGCCATGAGCACACAGAGTGTCATTGCTGTAAAGCAATTCAGTGGCCCTGACAAAATCGCACAAGCATACACTGTTCCACAGCCATCAGCTCATGTGCTCTCCAACGCTAACTATGACTATGATCTCTGTGGTTCAACAAATAGTACCTCATTATCATGTGCTATCCAATCCTCAAACATTAAGACCGAATCAATCAGTTCATCTAGCCTGCCAAAGATCCTTCCATTTAGTACTGACTCAAATGGTGAAAGTTCACTTTCTCGCATGTCGCAAGCCGAGTTTTCGGACCCAATTTTGTCTAGTTCTTCTACATTTTGTACAAGTCTGTACACCTCATCACCGATGAACTCTGGTTCATGCCGAAAAACCGGTTATTTGCCTTTCCTGCCACAACCTCCTAAATGTGAGCAGCAGCAGAATTCAGCTGGGCAATCATCCAGCTCTCTGATGCTCCTTGATGCTGATCTCAGAAATAGTGGTCATGCTGATGATGAACACACAGATGACCTCAAGGACTTTCTTAACCTCTCTTCAGATTGTAGCTTCCATGGGAAATGCAGTGCCATGGCTTATAATGAGCAGATGGAGTTTCAGTTCTTGTCTGAACAGCTCGGAATTGCGATCTCAAACAATGAGGAGAGTCCTCGGTTAGATGTGAGTTCCTTAGCTTCATCATTGATATTTTTGTACTAAATTATATGTTTATTTATCCTCTAATTTAATGGGTATCAATTACTACTTGCAAAAGGTTTTTTCAATGTTCACTTGTGAATATTTATCATGGCTTGATTTGCATTTTAATCACTTATTTTCTTGTTCCTTAGGACATATACGACAGACCACCGCAACTTATGTCTCTTCCAGTGTCATCTTGCTCTGATCAGGAGGATCTGCAGGATGCAAGATCTCCTGCTAAAGTTCAGTTGAGTTCATCTCGGTCTTCATCTGGAACTGCATCATGTAACAAACCAAGACTGAGGTGGACACCGGAGCTCCACGAGCGTTTCGTAGATGCCGTGAACAAGCTTGAAGGGCCAGAAAGTAGGGTGATCACTCTAGTTCATTGAGAGGAATTTGATCTTGAGAAAATAAAACCATCCTTTTATGTTCTATTTGATACATCTTGTAGAGGCAACTCCCAAGGGTGTTCTGAAGCTTATGAAGGTAGAGGGCTTGACCATCTATCATATAAAGAGCCACTTACAGGTGCTTTAGTGAATTTTTTTTGATCCATAGTCAAATTATTTCATATAAAATCATTATTTATAATGGTTAAAACACTACTTGTCACAATGCAGAAGTATCGGCTTGCGAAGTATCTTCCAGAGACAAAAGAAGGTAAGGCAATTAAGCCAAAGAGGAAGTTTAAATATCTTAGGAAATATGAAATAATTAGCTTTGTCGGTAATTATTAACTATTGGTTCTGATGCATGCTCGATCTAGACAAGAAGCAAGAAGAAAAGAAAACAAAATCAGTGGCTAATGGAAATGATCATGCAAAAAAGAAGTGAGCATCTCCCTTCCTTTCAATGACTTACTGCCTAACATTGAACATATCCTGCTGTCTGCATGCATAAACTGTAAAACTTCATACTGTTTTCTGTTTCTTAATTAGGAGTGCTCAAATGGCAGAAGCTCTTCGGATGCAAATGGAGGTCCAGAAACAACTCCATGAACAACTAGAGGTAAGCATCAGACATGTCAGGGCAGTATTTTGAAGGCTAATTAAGGTGACACTGTATGTTCATATGTTTGCAGCAGCCCTGATTCCAGATTATGGTTACAAGACTTAGTATTTACACAGTATTCTTTTTGGAGCAATTTACACATTATTTTTTCGGGAATACGCAAAAGGATTGCGCACCTTTGTATTAAGGAAATTTACACATTATTGTTCATCAAAGCATGCTTACCTGAATATTATATATTTAGATAAACTTGCAGTGTTAACATCTTTCTTGGTCATCAGGTACAAAGGCAATTACAGCTGCGCATAGAGGAACACGCAAGATATTTGCAGAAGATATTGGAAGAACAACAGAAAGCAAGAGAATCCATATCCTCAATGACTAGTACAACAGAAGGAGAATCTCCTGAATTCGCACCGATGGAGAAAACCGAGGACAAAGCAGAAACCTCTTCAGCACCTTTGTCAAAGTGTAGAATTACAGATACTGATGCAGAATGCCATTCAAAAGTTGATAATAAAAAGACAAAGCCTCAGGCTGATCTTGAAATGGTGCATGACGAATAATCATGGTCGCAACCTTTTACAATATAGTGCTTGGACTTGTATGTTTGTTTTATTCTGATGTGCCTCCATGAGTTAGTGCAGAAATTGGTCTTTGCGATTTTATGGTATACTTTTTTGAAGACTTTTTTTTTGTATATATTACTAACTCAGATGAAAATGGAGCCAGTAAAGAGATGGTGCCATTGGTTCCCTGTATACTTTATTTCACTCTGTAAATCTGATTACCATAATATGAATACTTATCCCAAATTTACAAATGTTTTTTCTTTGTGCTATCTCTGCCAGTACAATAGCAAGGTAACTGCTGCCTACACAACTGAATGATCATGTTTGAGCTTCTCCTCAGTTTCTGCTTATCTACAAGACTAGATGTGCTTGAAAGACCTCTAAATGTGAGGACTGAAGCACTTGAAATTCAGTTAAAAATAACACAATTAGTTCCTGTTCTGACTGCAAATGTGTTCACACACTAGAGATCTTGTGCATAGTCCACCTGATATTCCAGGTATTGTTAGTTTTGTGGAGGCTTCTCACTTGCTGGACAAAATTCCCAGTGTTAATGGATTATAAAAAATGTCCAAATTAAACTTTCTTATTTCTCTATTGATAGCGAGTTTATGCTAAACAAATCTCAGATTCGATAAACTTACCCTTGGAATTTGGATCAGCATGTACATAAAAACTGGCAGCTACTATCAGATAACAGAGAAATAGCATCAATCCTTTCACACAATTTGAAGTCCCATCCTGAAAGTGTGTGATTTAAAAGAACGTTTTAAAATCATGTGAAATCAAACTCATTTTGTTTTAAAAGAATGCTCTCTTTGCACAATGATTTTATTACCTGCAACAAAAATGCAACAACCAGTACAGTTGTTAAGAGGCTTGCCGTCTCAAAGAGATGGAAGTTTAGGTCCATTGGCTTGCCCATCATCCATCCCATCACTACACAAAATGGTATCTACAAAATGAGGTAAGCAAAAATCAGCTTTTGATGATCAGATCTTGACAGCTAGTAAGCATAGTCCAATCTGATAGGCAAAAGACAACCCACCCCAAACATGGATATCTGTATCGATGATCCTATTGCCACTCCAAGAGAAATGTCCTGTACAAAAACATAAAAAAACAAAAATAGAAGTTTACATTTTTAGTGTAAATAAAATGTTATTCAAGATTGTTGCCAATTGCAAGCTGGTGCTTACTAATTTGTCTTTCACTGCAAACATGACAGCATTAGCATGTCCTGCTGAATTCCCCACCACTGGGAGCAAAACAACACTGATGAATGCAACTGGTATGTTCCAAGCTTTGGAAGCCCCCTGTAAAATTTGAAAAATTTAATGATCCGGCAAAAAAAAAAGAGCTTGTAAGATTAATCAACACAAATCACAAAGAGTTTCCATTACAAAGATGTATATTCTTGTTAAACTGCAGACAAAAACAACAAGCACCAAAACAAAGTAAAAGAAGGATGGAGAAGAGCTATTACATCTATTGCATCAACCAAGTAGTAAGAGAGCATTGATATCCAAGCAATGAAAATTGCAATCCAGGAAATGGCTTCCCGTTTGGAGATCTCAGGAACTTCATCATCATTGCCATCCACATCATCCTGAATTCGTCTCTTGATTAAAGGCATACACGGATACTTCAGAAAATTGCAAAGAAACGAAACAAACAATAGGGCAAGAAATCTAACACAATTGCAATATCTATAATCGTATATGGTAACCCATCAGATCATCAGACTTACCACATTAGCTTCATTGCGACGCCGATTGTTTGACAACTGAAAGTAAAGGTAGGATGCATAAGCAACGAGCATAATGCAGCTGCTGAACCTCGACAACGCTAGTTCTGACTTGCCGAATTGAGCTTCTGAATGAGTATAATGCAGCGCAGCGGGAATGAGCAACCCCATCACTGCCATCAAAAGCAATCCGGAGTTCACTACTGCATCTGCCTGCCGACAACCGAGATTAACCGGTATTTCTTCTTCATCATGAAATCTTGTAAAAATAATGAAGAATGGTCACCTTGCTAAAGGTCTGCATGGTTTTGCCGCAAGCAAGTCCACCACTGAAGAATGCTGAACCAAGAACAAGAAGCAAGTTTGACAGGATTGATCCTAGCAGACATTGTTGAACAACGTGTAGTTTTCCTCTACTTAGTGCATGTATTGATATGATCAACTCGGTTGCATTGCCAAATGCAGAATTTAGAAGACGCCCAACTTCACATGAAATTTGCCAAGTCAACGACAATGCAACTGGCACATGATCATGTGAATACAATTCAGATAAGAATATGTCAGAAGAAGAGAAACTTAGCTAAACCTTTTGGCCCAGTGAAAAGTGCCAGTTGCCTGCAATGAGAAACAAAGTATCAGATGTTTATTGAAAGATAAAAGATTCAGAGAATAAAAGGTGAGTTTGTAACAATTACTCGGTGGCAAAACCCAATCGCTCAGCCAAAGGAATAATACCCAGCATGCTTAGAGGAAATACCCAACCCTTGAAAAGAGATAAGTCAGTAATATCAATACAAGAGCACAACGTTGCAAAGGAAAGCATCCAATATATACGTGGCAAAGCTTTTGCTTCTTTTCAAGAAAAGAAAAAAAAAACAAAGGAAAGAATCAACAAAGTAATTGTTAGATGAAAATTTGGTGTGCCTACATATCTTTGGGTCATGTAATTGAGAAAAATTGCTAAAAATCCACATGGTATCAACACATTGAGCTTGGACTTGAGAAACACAATCTTCATGCTGCCGAAAACCCCCCAATTCACAGATCCTGCATATATTTGGAAACCACCAATTCTAGCAGACAATGCATCTGGTGTAACAAGAGATTCCTCCTCCTCGAACTCGTCGGGTCTACTAGCCAATGAAGGGGCCTGTTCTATAGGAAAAATCAGTAGAAACAAATCCAGTGAATAAGTATGGAGCAACCAAAAGAGAAGTTTGTCAAGAAAAGATGCAATCATATTGCCAGTGGAGAATCCATACTGAATGCACTACTCGCAATGACTATGATTACTCACTTGATCGGTAGACTCCGGGTTCGTCCCATTGATCTTGTCCATCTGCAAAACTAGCAGCAATCAGTAAACATGTGGCCTAATTTCTGCAAAACTTTTTATGCGATTTCATATGTAATGACTGCTAGCTAACTGAATGTTAAAGGCCAAAGTGTACTGCATACTGAGGCTTGGTAAGTCAAATGGTGAGATAATCACTCTTTCTTTACTACAGTTACATGCAGACCAATTGTTGGATTAAGAAGAAAGTTTTACCGATGTATTAAGAACATACCGGGGTAGGACAATTCACACAGCAGAATTGGAAGCTGTTGGCTCATTCAATAAATCATAATAATAATAATAATAATAATAATAATAATAATAATAATAATAATAATAATAATAATAATAATAATAATAATAATAAGAGCCTCCGGGAGTCTGAACTGTTCGTTGCCATCGTCCTGAACCAACCAAAGATGACCAATTCCGATCGACAGAAAATTCCCCTTTTCGCAGAGAGAAGAACAGTAAGAACAAGCAAAATTAAATTCAGAGTTAGAAATCATACCTTCCCTTCCTTTGAAATGAAATGTATGACCTATAGATCTAATCCCAATCAAGGGACTGGTTCACGAGCACGAGATGCATGATCAGGTTCGAGATTGGGTATGGCGTTTTCGTCTCGGCAAAATGTTCCTCTCCCCCGTTTCAGGTTGGAAGCAGAGAGAGAGAGAGAGAGAGAGAGAGAGAGAGAGAGTCAGTTTCAACGGTCTCCGGAAGAATCGCGCGAATTTGTCGCTGGCAGATTGCCAAACAGGCAAAGCGTGTAGAGAGAAAAAAAAGGGGGCAATTTTGTTTTTGCCCCCACTTTAATCTCTAATATTGATTTTACCCATATTTTTTAGGGTTTTTGTTTTTGCCCCCACTTTTTTTGAACCGAAAGATACTTTTGCCCCTTTTTTAGATGGAGGAGTTAACGGTGTTAAATAGGACATTTATACCCTCTCCCATAACTATTCATTAATTGTGTTTTTTCCCCATTATGCAATGTTTGGAAATTTATTTTTGTGAATATGTTTAAAATTAAATGACAGATTTGGATAGATTTTAACATTACAATTTGGACAAAATTTGAATTTGATGGAATTTTGACAAAATCTCGGCAGCATTTTGACAGAAATCGAACAAAAATTTTGACAAAATTTCAACAACATTTTACACAATCATATGAAGTCATATTGTACCTCACAAGTATCACAAAGCATGACAACATAATCAGGAAGGTTTGACTGTGCAGCGAGAGGAGATGAGAGATAGCTCTTTCACAGGGGTAAAAAGGTAGATCACTAATTCAAAAAATCTTTATTTCCTGCCATAAACCCGGTCCCACTAACTTTCATCCAAACCAGGGGTAAATGCCTCTTTCGGTTCAAAAAAAGTGGGGGGCAAAAACGAAAACCCTAAAAAGTAGGGGTAAAATCAATATTAGAGATCAAAGTGGGGGCAAAAACGAAATTGTCCCAAAAAAAAAGACACATGAAAATTGCAAATTTACCTATTAAGAACCCAAGTTAATATAAAATACGGAATTGCTAGATTTATGTCGCTACAATTTTTTGGTAATAATAGTCAGATCAGTCACCAAAAGAAAAGGTGGCAACCGGGACTGGCGCTTTTCTCCTCTTTAGTCCCGGGACTAAAGATCAAATTTTTGTCCCGATTATTTTACCCGGGACTAAAGATACTTATCTTTAGTCCCGGATTGGGACTCCCGGTTGCATAACCGGGAGTATAGGCAGTTGCGAACCGGAGTTAAAGATCACTTGTGTAGCAGTGATAGGTGTTCTTCGTGGAATGAAACTGAGCATTAATGCATGATGCCAATTGCAGTGGTTTTCTTTGAACCATGAAAGGTTTGGGCTTACTTCTTTTCCACCAAGTTTTCTTTTATAGAATTGTCCTTACTGATTTACTTGTAATTTACACATTAATCTTCCATTTTCAGAGACAAAAGTAAAGTTTGTAAAGTTGAATGGTATATTGGTATGCAATTATGCATGTAAATATTCACTGCACATTTCCAAATTAGGAATTTTCCCTTTTCTGTCCTGCAAAATTGTATGTCAAATTAGTGTGTTTTTATAAGGTGTTTGTGGAAACTCTTTCCAAATATGTTATTCCTTTCTAGGTTATCCATCGCCAAATACACTATAAGTTCTACAACTTTTATATTGATACAAATTATTCTTAAATTGAATTTAACTTTACAAAGTTTGGACTTGGGCTTGCATTGCCCGTTAATTGGATTTGAACATGCTCTACTCATTTTCTTTTTTATTTACCTCAGATTTGTCCATTGGGTCGCATCCCACATTTTTGCATGGTGTTTAGTTTCTAATAATCTTCTGATAATTGATAAATGTTCACAGACTGCTTATATCTCAGTTTTATATTTATTGTGGATCTATGACCAGTGCATGCTCACGTTTTGACATGCATTATATACTATGACATGCGACATTATATTAGTATAGATGAACATCGAGAGCATTGCACGAGCATCTCATGACAGGAAGATGGTTGAAGTAATTCTCAACTCCATTCAACATGGTTGAAGTAATTTTCAAGTCCATTCAACCAGTCTATCTATTTTGGATGGCATGTCCAACCAGTCTTACAATCAACCAATTAGATGGAGGCATACAATTTGCGATCTTTTCATATCTGAAAGTTTAGACAGAAAACTAGACTGTCGTATAAGCTGAGAGTCAAAATGGCAAAAATCTTGTAATTTTGTACAAAATTGTAGAAGTTGGTCTTGTAGATATATCTATTGTACCGATGCTGAGGTGCATCATCTGAGCTTGTGCTGCTCCATGTACTGCAAAACTAATAGGGAATTAACATGAGGTAATTAGTTGATTCCCAAATGAACCTACATGTAGAGAGAGAGAGAGAGAGAGAGCAAGCTATATAATGGGAAAGGTAGGCTCTAGCAATATGAACCATCTGAGATTGAGAAAGTCATTACTGTTAGAAATACTTCAATAGCTGTCTGCAATGCTAAACTAGATTAAATAGTCTAGGCAAACTCAGGGGCGGATCCAACGTGGGTGCAGGGGGGACTCGAGTCCCCCCATACCCACAAGATCCATTGATACCCCCCAGAGCATTCCCTTCAATTTTTTCACCATGAATAATAAACTAAAGGTCCTTAGATGGCTGGAGGTTGAAGAAACTGCGTAATTGAGCCCCCCTCCCCCCCAATTTTTTGTTTCTGGATCCGCCCCTGGGCAAACTGTAGATAAGTGGTTTTTTCATGTCTGCTTTCATTACTATGCAAAATAAGAATCTAAGTGTCATGATAGTACCTGTAGCTATATGACGCACGTCAATGCAGTTCTGCTTATGATTGGCAATGATCGGTATCGATTTCTTATATTATCATGCATGAATCAGCAATCAAGAAATACAATACTAAAATTAGGGGACTCATAAGGTCAGGGAAATGCTACAGGACGGTATCCTGTTCGGATGAGATGATACCACTGAGGTATCACCTGGTACTGGTAGGAATCACCTGATACTGGTCAGAGGTATCATCCCATCCGAACGGAATACCATCCTTTACCATCTTTTGTTCTATTTCTGTTTGATTAAATCTAAGTTTTCTTATAACTCATTTTCCAGGATAACAATGTTATGTTTTCTGTTATACAGTTGGATGTTAATTACCTAGAAGCATTTCTAAAAATATCTAGAAGAAAAATGAAAATATGTAAGCAGCTATTTGTTCGCACCACTCTATTGCATTTTTTTGTCGATACAAGACAAATAAAAAAAATTGTTTAATATTTTTTCTTTCCCCTAAATTTGTGCTACTTCTGTTGTATGATGGTTGATATGCAGAGATGAGACTATATCAGCATTATTATAAGTTGTTAACTAGCTGTAGTGATGGATGTGGGCATAAAGAAGCAAGTTCTATGTGGAAGAATGTTAAGAAGATATTACAGAGGCAGATGGCACGGCCGCACGGGAAAGTAGGCAATGGAACTCAGAGTGGGTTGGTACAATGGCACCACCTCTCCACATTATCATTGTTTCCTATTGTTTGTTTTTTATATTTGTTTTGTTTGTGTTTTGACAAGATGCATAAATTTGGTTGGTACAATATCACAAATATTATAACATATAAATATTGTGAAACGTGCATTGCACGTGCATGTTTACTAGTCTCAATATAAAGCTTTGCAATGCCACTCCATATACGAATCGAAGAGAATGCGCCTCCTTATGGTAAACCATGTCATGTGCACCATACTATACAAATCAATCAGCGAGAGCACACTACGGGCTTTTCAAAATAATTTTTGATGTTTCATTCATGAGCTCTGGTGGGAGTGTTCATATGTTATGTTATCGTGTGAGATGTATGGTTATAACTTACGAATACAATATTTCAATGCCTAATAAGTGGGCCAACCCATGAATCCACTTATAAACAAAATTAGTAGATAACCCGCGGATTGATCCATGGATTACCCACTAATTTGGTTTATAAGTGGGCTTACGGGTCGACACACTTAAATCCCTGCTAATATGACATTTCTTACATGTTTATGTGCCTTTTTATTACCTCATTAAAAATATTTGAATTGTTTCTATCATCCATCAACCATTGAGTCCAAGTGAGGATTCCCACCATCCCACAAAGGATTGTAATACACATGGTGCTGAGGGAGCGAGGGTGTGTTGTTTCTTTTTTTCCTGACCCATGTACTATGTTGTATGGGCCTCGAGGCAGCCTAGCTATCATACTCTCAATGTTCGCACTCCTCCCCCCCTCGATCATATTCAGCACAGTGAGGTCACAATAAACATGCATTAGACTGAAAAATGTTCCTTTTTTCTACAAAATCGTATTTGATGGCAGATATAGAGATAGGAAATGAATTATTTTGAACAAGTTACCTGGCTTTTTGACATGGAAAATATGTCTTACGAAGGACAAATGGATTATATTTTCTGTTTTTCCCATTGCAACGCACGAACATTTTTGCTAGTAATTAAAAAATAAAGAATATTGAAAGAGTAGTCTAGAGTCCATATAGAAATACAATTTACAAATAACTAAAATCCTGTATTAGAAAACAATTAATAACTATCACATGTATACAACACGGAAATACAACACAATATGAACATTACACGTTTATAGTTTGGTCAAGTTAGTACAAAATTTAAATTATATTGTTATTTTAAGGTGTTTTAATAACAAAATAAAAAAATATATTTGCTATTATATGAGAGAAAACATAAAGATGCTAGCCGCGTAATTTGCACAGGCCACCACACTAGTTGTTATTATTCTGTATGAACCCCATCCCCCGGCGATGGGATGAAACTAGCAGTGATGCAAGTTCTTTGTAGTTTGTACGAGCAATCAGATCTCTGTTTCATATTATCATAAATATCATTGTTACTTCTCTGATCTACTTGAAATCATTTGCAACCTCGCACCATTATCTCAGACTCTGTCTTCATTCTGCCAACTTGTGGTACTTCATTGTAACCTCGAGCAATACCTATCCAGTTTTTGTTATACCAGTGTCCAGTACCACCCTTGAACAAAAGAAATCGCAAATAACATTCTTTCACTTTGGCAACAGGGACATGGCATGACATTCTAATTCCTGCTGCATTCACATTTCACACACCATGATTGATATGATTTGTATGTTCAGAACTTCAGATTTACACAAAATTAAGAGCTGAGACTAGAGGCAACAAATGAAACAATATAGGTATGTTCATCAAATAAAATAGAGTTACTCCGTATTTCTGTACATCAAACAGACGGATTGCATCTCAGCACACCCTTGGAACACAAGCAAGTAGAGCTGGCAATCAACTTGTTCTGTAAGCACACCTTCTCTTGCTCTGCCATTCTGACCAACCATGCATGCCTAATGCCTTATCTTCTTAATACAAAGATGCACACTTTTATTTCAAAAATACAAAATATGCATAATCCTTCTGCGCATTCCCTGGAAAATAAGACCATGCTAACTAAGAAGCAACACAGCCAGGTCCCCCAATATATATGCTGACTTGCAAAACAGAGAAGTAGAAGTTAATGAATCTTGTTTATTACTCCATCCGTCCCTAAATATTTGACGTCGTTGACTTTTTAAAACATGTTTCACCGTTTGTCTTATTCAAAAAAATTTGTGAAATATATAAAACTATATGTATACATAAAAATATATTTAACAATGAATCAAATGATAGGGAAAGAATTAATAATTACTTAAATTTTTTGAATAAGACGAACGGTCAAACATGCTTAAAGAAGTCAACGGTGTCAAATATTTAGGGACGGAGGGAGTATTACCATTAGTATTATGACATTGCAGCTTATTGCTGGCTTCCTACTTCCTTGAGCAGCAGCTAGCTCCGCTAATCGGAGCCTTTGCTAGTAACAAAATCCAAGAATCTTACTTAGAGCACTCAATGGTAGAGGAGTTCTTGTCCAAGCTGTAACATTCCGATTTGTGCTTGATCATCCGAAGCCCTCTTCCAGCCTTACCGCAAGGCTTTACCTCCACGCCGGTGAAAACAGCTTGGACCGTGCGGTTCGTATCCATGTCGCAAATTGAGGAAACAGAAGAAACTTCTGAGGTTGATTTGGATGACCTGCAAATGGATGAAACTGAAGATCCTTTTGCGGAAGAATTGGATAATCTTGTGCTTAACATCATAACTCGCAAGTGCAATAGCTCAGTAGCACAATTAAATAGGGAACAATTTGCAGAGAATAAGGTATGCATAGTACAAGTACCTTTTTTGAACATTATCCTGTGATGTTCCAGTCTGTTGTGTAGTTATCTGCATTAACATTTTCTGCATTTTCAGGACTCGCGTTATAAGAAACGTCAGCAATTTGAAGAATCTTCTCCACATAAGAACTAAGAAGAGACATAAATCCTCTGATTTTTCTGAACCCAGAAAAAAGAAACACTGAAACAGTCTTTGCCTCCTATATCAGGAGACATCCAAAATAAAATAAAAAATCTTCTTGTTTGTCAGGAAAAGGTACAGATGAGTTCTCCTCTAAAACTTGATAGAGATAAAAAGTTGTGCTAGTGTTCAAGGTGTTGAAGCACCAGCATATCCAATGCTACTGAGTTCATCTATTTGCACAAATCTTTCTAAAAAAGACTAGATAAATATTACAGCACCCATTCCTTAATGTGGTCATCGAAGCGATAACATTCTGATCTGTGCTTGACCATCCGTAGCCGTAGGCCTCTTCCCGGCTTCTTCACCTCCACGCCGGTGAAGACGCCGTACGTCTGCGTATCCATGTCGCAGACGCAGCACACTGGAATCTTGACCGGCTTTTCGAAGAATCTTGCGATGCAGAACCTGCCGGATCCCAGGTGCACCAGATGGGATGACACCAGCTTCCAGTCCTTGGGTGGCTTGAGTTCTTGGCAGAAATCGCGCGTCGCCGGCGGCTCGGCTGCGCCGGCGAGATCGAATGCGCAGAGATGGTTGTTGTTGGAGCCGGAGGAGAGGGCGAACCAGAGGTTGTACTCGGGGACGTACTCGGCGAGGCCACGGAATGGGAGCGTCCAGTCTCCGTGCTTGGTCCAGGCGCGCCGCGCCGTGTCGAAAGAGAAGGTGCCGCTGCCGCTGCCGTCGTTGGTTGACACCCAGATCTCTGCTGAGTCGCCGCCACCGCCGACCACCGCATAGCCGCCGATGGCTCCGTTTGCGCCGACGAAGCTGCAGGAGTAGGGATGGTAGGGCGGCGGCGGGAGAGATTGGCAGTGCCAGTCGTTGTACCGGTCGATGGGGCCACGGGTGGTGACCCAGTCGTGGGCGGGGCCGCCGGGCTTGTAGACGAGGGCCTCGAAGCAGCGGTGGTCGGAGGAGGTCGGGTCGAGGATGTAGAGGTCGTCACCAATGGGGAGGGAGATGGCGGGGAGTCTCTTGGGGTGGGCGAGGGTGGGCGCGGCGCGGATGGTGTTGGCGGCGGGGTCGTACATGGTGGTGCGGCCCTTGTGGTCGACGGCGAGCACCTTGTCGCTGTTGCGGCCCAGCAGCATGAAGTGCATGACCCAGGGGGCGCAGAAGGTGATGCAGGGGCGAGGCAGCCGAGCGTCGACGACCATCGCCAGCGGCGGCGGCGGCGGCGGTTCGGGGTAGAAGAAGAAGCGGGACACGTTGATGCGGCGCATGTGGAAGGTGTCCGCCATGTAGCTGTCGCGACAACACCGCAGGCGGCGATCGTAGCAGCCCTTCACCACCAGATAGACGAACTGCCTCATTGCTTGCGTCCCACCCGCAGCCATCCAAATCGGCCGGCGAGACGCGGCGCAGTAGCAGTGCGGCAATTGGGGATTTGGGGATTAGGAACAAAAATTGCGTAGAGTACCTGCGATTTGCGAAAAAATCGACTCCGGATTTACCTCCGGCCGCCGGAATCGAGTGTTCATCTGAATCCGATCGATATCCACCGGGGATTGGGAGAATCGCAGTCGCAGTGCGGCGCGGCGATTGGGGATTTTGGGGTGTGGGGTTGTCCATAGTCCACGATTGACCTAAATAGGGCATCGGTCTTGTGTAGGCTTCGTGGGCACCACCGCCTCTCTGGGCCGCCGGCCCTGTGCCCCAAACAGCTCTGAATGGAATAAGTCTATTTTGAGCCCCTTAAGCCTTGCCGCAAAACCTCGACTCGTTCAAAGCGTTTTTTTTTTGGTTAAAGTGGCACTGTTATATTTGGGGGAAAAGAGAAAATATTATGGCCCTACGTGTCAGTGTGCCATTCCTTCCTTTCGCCTTACTATCTTTGACAGCGCGAGGATGCTGAGGACGGTGATGCTCAAGGCCGAGCGGTGGACATGGCGAAATCTTGTGGTGGGGGGACGACGTTGTCGTCTGGGGAATCAACGTTGGAGCCGTGGAGGCATCAACGGTCCTCGGCGAGCTTGGTGGCAACACGGCCAGCAGAGCTGCTACTTCTATGCCTCACGGGATGACGGCCGGGAGGCGCGTGTCGTCCCCGCGCCGCCGTCGTTGGCCTCGGCCGGGAGATGGGAGCTCGTCGTCCACTAGTACATACTACCTCCGTTTCAGGTTATAATACTTTCTAGCATTGTCCATATTCATATAAATGTTAATGAACATATATATCTAGATTTATTAACATATATATGAAAATGGGTAATGCTAAAAAGTCTTATAATATAAAACAGAGGAAGTAGTTCCCTATTGGTGTCGGTTGGATACCCACTATAGATGTCGGTTTTTTAACCGGTACCAATTTAGAGGCATTTATGCTTATCCTTTCTTCCTATACAGTTGGTACCCACTAGAGCATTTACTCTTATAAAGATTGCTCCACGTCATCAGCACTTTTAAGCCGTTCGATCTAATCCTATGGTTTTTCCTGATCGTTGCATGAATACAAACCTTATTATCCAGCCCAGTTAGCTTTTCTCAGTTTAACTGGATAAGGGCTTTGTGAGATCTGTTGTTTTAGTTCAGTCAGTCGTCAAGTTATAACACGTTTTCTATTTTCTTTGTACTTTTGTTCTTCTTTTTCAGCCAATACAAATGTTAATATGAAGGTATTATCCAAATATCCCGCAGCAACGCGCGGGGTATCATCTAGTATGCATGGATGACAGTTCCAAAACCAGTAAATGTAATTTCTTTTTTTTTTGAAACTCCGGTACATGTAATCTTGGTTCTGACTCTAAAACATACACCTATATAGATGGCCATAAAGGCCCGAGGCTCGACGGCACGACCCGACAATTGAGCCATGCCTTGGCATGGTGGGCCAGCCCGGCACGACATGGTCAAATAAAAATAGTAGAGGGATCGAAAATAGACTTAATCAGCCATATAAGGCACAACCCAAAGAGAAGAGGGATACAAAATTGTCAGGGTTATGGATACCACATCCCTAATAGTAATTGACTAAGCTCAGAATCATACCTCGTATATAGAAAGAGTTCCGGATAAGGAAGGACAAATAGAGTTCTATATGGAAACGACAAGTACTAGCCAGATTGTATCCATATTGGTCTCCCTAGTTTTACTTGGACAAGGGGTCATCTATGGGTATAATACAAGCCCCCCCTAAGAGGAGAGATGGCACAACCAACATACACGGAAGCCACGGTTCATATGCACCCACCTCATATGGCTGACACATATGCACATTGCACCAGGGATGAGTCTAGTCCATTATGTACTACCGTGGCTTCCGTTCATATGAGGTGGGTGCATATGAACCGTGGCTTCCGTGTATGTTGGTTGTGCCATCTCTCCTCCTAGGGGGGTTTGTATTTATACCCATAGATGACCCCTTGTCCAAGTAATACCTAACGATCGATGAATTTTTTCCTTCTCTTATTAGTGATGAAAGGACAACAATCGGCTATGGATTCTGGAAGGTGAGGGTTGGTCAGGTGATATTACTTCGTATTAGAACTTGTTGATATGTTTGTTGGTTGATCGATGGTCTGAACTCCAAGCAGAAAATTTTATCTATAGGTTTGGTTGTGTAGTGGGGGATGTTTTGTCCAAGTGCTAAGGTTAACCTCTGAACATAGACATTAGTTGTAATTACTAAGGTAAGAACCTTTTTAATTTAGTAGAGATAGAAAAAAGGAAAAACTTAGCCATATGAACAGATCCTAACCACCCTCCTTGTCTCTGTTCTTCCTCTATCCCTTTACAACCTGAAAATATTTGATCAGTATATCTTGGACAGTCCAATCACAAAATCTATGGTCTTATTCCTGGGTAGAGGCAATGTGAAATACAGGAGTTGGTTAATTACCATAGTAAACAACAAAAAAAAGTTACAAGTTCCAATCAAGGCCTATAAATGTCTCATAGTGATCACCATGTCATCTTGATCTTCTATCTGTAAATGACAGGATACTTTATATCACAATCTTCATTTTAGCTTTTGTGTACTGTTTTGGATTTATGGTACGAAAAGGGAGATAGTCTGCTTGCTTTTAGCATCACATTTGTGTAAAGATGCATTCATGCCTTGGAATGACTACTTGTAGAATAGAATGATATCCATACATATGTCATCAGACTAAGATAGTCAAAGAAGTCATGCAAACAATGTACAAGGACAGGTTTTCTGCATGTGTATAATTATAATATGTTAACATAATGATGGTTGATTTGAATTTATTTTGCAAGATAAGTTAAATTATTATAAATTGACTGGTTTTGAATTGTGCATGCCATTTGCTAATGTTATAATTGTGTGTGCAGCCTCAAGGAGCATCGTTTGGAAACTATGTGCTATGCCTTACCTCTGGTAATTGTATGTCTGACCTTGGTTCCGATTTCTGAACTTTGGCTACTCTGGTTCTGAAGGAAAGTTTCAAGATTTACTGTTCATTCAATGATTGCATCATTAATCTCGTGGAAATGGCATTTCTATCATTTACCAATTTTCTTTTCTGTTTTTAATCATAGATGGCTGTACTAGATTCTTTGATCAAATTATATTTTTGACCTATTGCAGTTCTTTGACATGACAAAACTTTGTCCTATCAAAGCTCTAGCCATCTACAGAAGAACAAGATACCTGAGTATGCACTATCAATTGTGTGCCTTCATTTACCCTTTTTTTTCCCTTTCTATACTGTTGCATTTTGTTTTTCTTTCCTTCCAAAGAAAATTTTTTAGATAATGGATTTTCATTAATCCGGCCTCTATATCCACGAAAGATATACACAGCCAGTTCCTTCCACAGAAATGTATATAGAAAACTAATGATCTTCAAGAACATCAGGCCAAAAGTCTATCCGATTTCGTCGACCCCTGTCGGGGTTTGGAACTTCTATCTCTGCATATCTAAAACTTCTTACATGAGAGTTTGCTTCTTATAATTTGTTTATCTGATGAATCCACTAATTTCTCTAAAACAATTAGACAAATTTCAGTTGTATGGTTAAGAGTTCCAGTTAGTATCTTGTGTTTGGTATCTGGTGTTGTTGATTATTGCCATGCATTTTCTACATGTTATGGTGGAAATGCTGCCGCAATGCGCTGTCGATTAATAATAATACATATTTTTTTATCTCTACGTATTACTAACACCCATTAAGGATGCTGGCTATGTTATATACGTACATTAAAATGGTTAATTAGAGATTTAGAGGTTTAGAACATGCTAACATCTTGATGAAAGCAACTTTTTCCTGTAAACAACCTTGTTCATTGTGTTTTTCACAAATATGAACCATAGGATCATCTTCTTTTTTTTTCACACCTACCATATAACATGAATCTGGTTAGACATCAAGTAGACCATTCAGCATATTCCACAACTAATATTTTTGCAGATTGTTTTGAGGCTACAACACGAGTGCCATCTCTTTTTGACTACTCCATGGGCATTATAAATACCCAAGCAACTGATGATCAAGGATTGTCCCAGGCAAGATCTCCACAGAATTGAAGATATTCAAACTCAGATGTACCACTTTGTACAGCGTGCTTATATGTAGATTTGTCACTCGGAGTCGGTACGTTTCATCAATGTGTTGTAAGCTAAGTACATTGTGATACTATATGGTTTCAAATTGGAGATTGCTTGAAATAGTACTGTTATGTTTGTGAAATCATCATGCATATTTCAAAACTGATCAACAGTATAGTAACAAAAAAGGCGGCGCGCAATGAGAATCTAGTAATAAAAAAAGGCGGCGCGCTCGCAAGGCGGTAGACGTACACGGAGGCACCGAGCTCACGGCTGACGGGAAATGCGTCGAGCGACGACGGCTTCTGCTCAAACCAAAAAAACATCCTTGAGATCCCCATCCAAGAACAACCTGAGATCCCCCATCATAACCATCCAAGATACATGTACATACACGAAATCAACACTGAAGACATAGAAGAACACGTAGAGAGAGGACAACGATCTTGAGGATGAGGAGAACCTTCGAGCCAGAGTTCACTGCGTGCATCGTGGCCTCGCGTCGTGTGGCGCCCGTTCCGTCGTGGCGCCTAGCGGGAAAACTATCTCTTAAAAACCCTAATTGCGAAATCTGTTTCTTGCTTGTTGTCTAGTGTCCGTGCCATTCCGGATCTCAAATCCCCGATCTATCGTCAAGTTCAATCTTGAATCCAAATCCTTCCCAAATCAAATCCCTCCGCAAAAGTCTATTTTGCCTCCCTCGGGTTCGATGGGCCGAATTCCTCTCGGCCCATCTCTCTCTCTCTCTCTCTCTCTCTGCCCGTGAGCCGCGCCGAGCCCTCCCTCTCCGCTCTCGCTGCCGTTCCCGCCGACGCCGCCCAAATCGCCGCGCCGCCCCCGCGCGCGCGCGCCGTGGTGGCCGACCGCCTGGTCGCCGCCGCCGTCAGCCTCTGCCGCGCCTGCCTGCGCCTGCCGTCCGTGTCGCCGCTCCATTCCAAACCGCCCCCGCCGTCATCGCCGTCGTCATCGACTCGGCCCCGCCTCTCTCCGCGCGCTAACCTCCAAGGGACGGAGGCAGAGCTCTCCCCCTCTGCCGCGTCGCCCTCTCTTCCTCCTCCTTTTCCCCA